CAGTACCAGGGGGGACGGACTCACGAGCACCTAGAGCAGCAGCCTCACCAGGACCTGGGGCAGCAGACTCACTAGCACCTAGAGCGGCAGCCGGACTGGTCAGAATGCCCGGGTCGGGCGGAACACGCAAGTACTGGGCACCCTCTCCACTAGTAAACATCGCATACATGGCAGTGAGAATAGCATCAAAGTCTAAAGCCCAGATATCAACTCCCTTCCTCTCCAGATTACCCCAGCGGGGAAGCTCAGTGCCGCCAGGGAACTGAGCGCGCCAAGCGTCGGTGAGGCGCGAGAAACAGCGGTGCGTGGGGTGCGGCCTCCCACACGTCTGGCCAGTGCGGTCTCCAGTGCGGATGACGTACGTGCAGGTAAAGCCACCCGCCCCCCCCCGCTGCGAGTACCACTCACGTGCCTCCTGGAGCGACGGGGCGTGCTGCTGGCTCTGGCCACCGCCAGCGCCTCCACGACCACCACCGCCGCCGTCACCGCCTCGGCCACCTCCACCCCTGCCGCCGCCACGACCACCTCCGCCTCCGCTGCGGCCGCCGCCCCTGCCACTGCTCCCGCCGCTGCTGTCACCACCCCCACTGCCGCCACTAGCCTCTCCAGTCCCACCTCCACCCCCACCGCCACCACCCCCGCCTCCCCCGCCACCACCTCCACCCTTGCCCCCCTTGCTCCTGCGGCGCCCGCTCGGAGCAGACGCGGTCCCGACCTTCTCAGCACCAAGGAGGTCGACAGCAGCAGCAGAGGCAACAGAGGGGAGAAGGGGGGAAGGGGAACACCCCTCAAAGAACGGGGTGCGGGGGTCGCCACGAGAGGTGCCTACAGCGACGATGCTCGCCTCAGCTGCAAGCAGTTCCTTCTCGAGGAGGGCAATGGTGAGCTCAGTGGGAGAGCGAGCGAGGAAGTGGTCCCTGACTGCGCGCAGAGAGTCAGGGAGGCGGGTGACGATGTGGTAGAGCGTGATCCAGAGCGGGGGGGGATTGCTAGCAAGGAACTCGTCAGGCATAGCAGCGCGAAAGCGGGCCTCACTAGTCTTGAGGTGGGTGATGAGGTCAGCAACCGTCTGAAAGGAGGCCAGGTCGGGGAACAGGTAGGGGAGGGTGAGACGGCCTAGTGTGGCAGAGGCAGGTGAGGAGTAACGAGCAACTACAGCAGTGTACAGGTCCTTAGCAGTCTTGTGCTGGCCAAAGTGCTCGCGCTCATCTATCGGCAGGGAGTTGCGAATAGCGAAGCGAGCGTGGGCGTCACGAGTCTGCCACTGTGAGCGCTGAGTGCTGTCTGCAGTGGTAGGAGGGGCAGTAGCGTGACCGAGGGCATGATCGTACAGCGAAATATCCTCCTTGGCAGTGAGCTGTAGGAAGAGGTGCAGGTCATCTAGCCAGGTGTCAAACTTCACTGGGCGGCCCTCAGCATCGAAAGCAAGTACGGGAGGACTAGCCATAGTGGCAGCAGCAGTAGCAGTAGTAGCAGTAGCAGTAGCAGCAGTAGCAACAGTTGTAGTAGCAGTAGGAGCAGTAGTAGGAGCAGCAGTATCGACGGGGCTGCTAGTACGGGCGGCGCGGCTCGGTCGGGCGGCGCGGCTCGGGTCAGGTAGGGCGGCGCGGCTCGGTTCGGGCTGCGCGGCTGCGCGGAGCCGCTAAGCGGGGCGGTACGGGGCCGCGGGGGCCTCTAAGCGGGGCTCGACGGGGCCGCGGGGCCGCTAAGCGGGGCGCAACGGGGTCGCGGGGCCGTGAGGTGGGGCGCGACGGGGCCGTGGGGCCTTTAGGCGGGGCTCGACGGGGCCGCGGGGCCGCTAAGCGGGGCGCAACGGGGTCGCGGGGCCGTGAGGTGGGGCGCGACGGGGCCGCGGGGCCTCTAAGCGGGACGCGACGGGGCCGCGGGGCCTCTAGGCGAGGCGCGACGGGGCCGCGAGGCCGTTAGGTGGGACGCGACGGGGCCGGGGTGTCAGAATCCCAGTCACTAACCACTGGGATAAAAGGGCTTGTTTGTGTAGCGGGTGAGTGCGCCCATAACCCCCCAGGCCAACATGCCTGTAACCCTTCCCTAGGATCATCGGGGATCTCCAGTGGACCTCTGACACCCCCCCGCACTGGGATGCCCGAGGTGCACACACCGGGATTCGAACCCGAGACCTTCGCTCTGATACCATGTCAGAATCCCAGTCACTAACCACTGGGATAAAAGGGCTTGTTTGTGTAGCGGGTAAGTGCGCCCATAACCCCCCAGGCCAACATGCCTGTAACCCTTCCCTAGGATCATCGGGGATCTCCAGTGGACCTCTGACACGGGGGGCCTGTAAGCAGAGCGCGACGGGGCCGCGGGGCCTTTAGGCGGAGCGCGACGGGGCCGCGGGGCCTCTAAGCGGGGCGCGATCGACGGGGCCAGCGGGGCCGAGAAAAAAAAAAGGAGAAGCGCGCGAGGGCGCTAAGGGGGGGGGCGCTAAAGCGCGCTCCGATAGTAGGGCGCACGAGGGCGCTAGTAGGTAGTAGGTAGTGGTGGGCCCGAAGAGAACTTAGGTCCTAGCGAAGGACCTGCTCTGAAACCATGTCAGAATGAACGGACTGGAATGATTGAACTAACAGTGAAATCAGTACAAGTACCTAACCCTAGAATTGTGTACCCCCTATAGGCTAACCCACTGTAGCCTAAACAACCACAACATATATATAATGTTTGACACTGTCGCAGCGGCTGCACGCACGGGAGGTCGGCACGCAGACGTCAGGCAACAGTCCACAATGGAAAAATTCAGCACGGAAAGGTAAGCAGCAAACTCCTCTACCGTTGAGCTCATGGACCCTCCCGACTGTGAGGTTCCACTTGGAGATGTTGCTCTGCCGAGTGGTAAGGAAGTCATTGTGGTTATGCACAGAGTGCATACCACCGCAGAGACTGCACTTCAGAGCCGGGTAGTGAACCATGATCCTGGTGCCAGGCGAAACCGGGTTCTCGAAAAAATGCTTCCAGCGGAACTTGTCATTCTCAAAAGCCACCACCAACCCCTTCACCCGATCCGTGTCCAGCCCCGAAACAGGGTTAACCACGCGGTGGAAGCAGAAGCCGTCTTTAAAAGCCGGACGCTGGCAAATCTTCAAGGTGGACTTAGCCAGAGCCTCATGAAGCAGATCCGGAGAGATCTTCGCAGCGATCCCGATAAACAGAACTTCGATAGCCTTCGGATCCAGCATCTTACGCCGTGAGTAGCTAGGATCTTCCGGGTATTGCCAGTCAAAGGTAACGTACTTGCCGTCCCTACAGAGGTGATCCACCCCATGGCGCCAAACAAAATTCGCATCAGCAGCGTTAACAAAAGTAACTTGCAGACGATCGAATAACTTCTTGGAAAGGTAAGCCGGTGAGAGTTCCTGAAACTTGGTCGTCGCAGCCGCGTTCTCAGTAAGATCAAGCTTCCAGAGCAGTAGCAGGGATTTAACCGTCGCCTCCATGAACGGCAGCTCCTGCAAGTGCTCGTTAGGGATCAGCAAGGTAAGCGGAAATTTCAGCTTTGCAGCAAGCTCCCCTTTCGCCTTGTCCTCGAAACCCTCATTGGGGTCATGCGCAACCAGGCCGTCATCATCGTCATTCAAGAAAGCATAGCTCGAAGCAGAGCCTGAAGCCTCCCCTTCGTCTTCATCAGCAGCAGGCTCGCCTTCCGGGTCATCCGAGACCGCATCCTTAAAATCCGCATCCTTCTTCTTGCCATTTTCCGTCTCTTTATCTCCCCTTGCAGCTTGTTCAATCCGGATCGCCGCAAGCTTGGCAGAGAGCGTAAGCGCGGACGCGTCTTCTTCAGCGAAGAGTGCACGCGACGACTTCGGCGGAACAGCAGTCACAGAAACCGGACGGTTAGTCACGGGTGCCGGAGTCGAGGTAGCAGCGGAAGCTGCAGGAGCAACAGGTTCCATTCTAGCAGCTGGCTTAGCAGGCTTCCCTTTCGGAGGCATGACGTGATGATGGAATAACCACCACCACCAATATAAAACCGGTAGAAAAAGAAGATTGAGCCTCTTAAAATAGCTGGAGAGGCATGCCTGATGAGCTGCTGAAGCAGCGTAGTTTGGTTGAACATTGCACCCTGGTAACAACAATGGACCTTGGGACTTGCATGTGGAAGCGCCAGCCTTGTAATAGACGAGGGAGTAGTCATTGAAGTTAGATCCTGAAGCCTTGAGAGTAGATGCTTTCAGGGTGAAGGAAACAATGTCATCTGTTTTGACATAAAAAACATATCCTCGTATTCCCTGTTGAAAGGCGATTCTCAAGATGCGCTTATTGGAGCTTGCAACGTAGTGGAGTCCCGACATTGAGAGCTCCGAAATCCCTGGTGGCAGCCATGGCGGCCTTGGTAACTCCGTCATTGTCATTGTCATTGTCATTGTCATGCGTGGTACTGTGAAATGTGGAAGGTAGGTGCAATGTGGAAGAAACTCGAGTTACATGAGCCACCACCACTATGTACAAGCTTGTTAAAGCCGGCAGCCCAAATTGCACAAGTTTTAAAAGGTTGACGCGAGGGGGTTTTTGTGGTGAGGGTTTTGGCGAAAGATTCCGATTTCGCTTTTTTCGTTTTTTTTCGCCAAACCCAGCCCGCCCTCGTATTTCGCCCTGGGGGTTGGTTCAGTTCCCAAAAGTCCCAAATTGCAGGCACGCTTTTCTTCAAACCTTGAAAACACTAGTTCGTCAAGTTTTAAAAGCGCGCGGCCCGCAATTTGGGACTCGGGCTTTAAAAGGGTGTAGAAGAGCGAGTTGCACGTGAGTACACTAAATTTGTTTGACAACATTGTAGGTCCGATTACAGCTTTGCAGTGCCACGTTATTACACTTCTCCTGACAACGTAAATCTGATCCAACCTGCATTCGCACTGCACATTTCAGCATATGGATTTTGGAGTTCCCAACACAAGGCAAATTACAAAATGGCGGAGAGTTGGGACGTTTCACAGGACGATCTCGCGTCCGACACACATCCGACACACAGCGCCTAGTGAAAAGCGATGGCGTCCTCTGGAGCCAGCCAGCAAGCCGTGAAGGCCGTTGCTGAGTTAGCTAAGCGATTACGACCTTCGTTCGTTAACGGGAAGTGGCGCGGTGCTGAGATTTCCGCGAAGAACCGCGCACGGCTGCGACGCGAAACTCTACTGGCTGGCGAGTGAGTTCTTAGAGAATGCCTCAGATAGGAAGATAAGTGCAGCAGTTTAAAATCCGTTCAAGCTGGATTTCTCCTATCGTTGTCGACTGTGAATAAGCGCCATACTAATGTTGCACTTTTAATCTGCCGTGCGAGGATTAGCTCTCTAGGGGAACGGACGCCATGTTTCTCACTTACTTTCCGCTTCAATCTTCGAAATCTCGTCGTATCACACTCTGGAAATTGAAAGACCATCGACGCCGCATTCTCTGAGGTCCACCGCCCCGCAGCTTCGTCTTGCTCTCATTGCTCCAGCCCTAGTTCGTCCGTGCTCGGATGATGGTGTTGGATGAGTGCACGCGAGTGTGGCGGGGGACTTGTGGTGTATATGCATGTTCCCCTTCCGGCTGAAGCGGTGTGGAAAAGGGGGCCTGAGTGGACGTGCCTATTTTTACGGTATGTCTGTCTGCATGTGTTTCTTTGTGGGGGAGAGGGGGAAGAATGGGAGAGGGGGGGGGAGGGGGGGTGGGGTATATATGTACATGCACGTATTGTCTCCGCACGTCTGTTGGTGTGGCAGAGAATGGCGTTATGACGCACCTCGGAAGGAGATGAATACCAAGATGAAGGGTCACAAGCACGATAAGGAGGCAGCAGTGAGGTCAGTTTGCAGATTGCTTCAAGAATGCAGAGGTCTTTTGTACTTGGTAGTAGTTATTGTCTAGTCTGGGTCTGGGCTCACTCCGTGATTCAGCTACATGCGTTGGTATGCAGGCAAGAGAAGATCGCAGAGAACATGGCCAAGATGCCGGAGTTGCTCGAGCAAATGAAGGTACAGTATGCGTGAGATTTGTTTGAACATTAGTTGAATTCTCTTTGCTGTTTTTTATGTGCTTACATTTGTGTGCTTGTCCAATTTTGTTGCAGAAGCGGCAAATAGAGGCAAAAAAGAAGTCCCCAAAGCAGCAGTAAAGCTCGATGGGAGGTAAGAAGCATTTGCTCTATACCATTGTCAAGACAGCGCTGCTATGTAGAGTTTGTCAAATTTGAGGTGATATATGGTGATTTGTCTGTCAGATTGTCAGATGTTTGGAGAATTGGCATGCTGATGTGCTGCTTATATTCCTGTCCAGTCTCCAATAATCAACTTCTCTTCTGTTGAATATGCCCTCTCAATGTTTCAGGGTAACACCACAGCACATCGTTGCAAAATCATATCACAATAATGCACTCAGATTGCAGCTGACATGGACTTCCTTCCAGGTGCGGGTGTGATCATCGCTGCTGCTTCTGGCGGTTTGTAAGTTGTACCCATTATAATGTACCTGCATTGAATGATAGGTAGGTTAGTCACTAATCTTGCTACAAGAACGTGTGGACAACATACCTGTAGATGACAGCTGCTAGTGCTGATCCCAGGCTGGGCGCCACCCAGTATACCCAGTGTTCTTGTGGCCAAATCCCTGATACAACAGCTGGCCCAAAGCTTCTAGCAGGATTCATGGATGCACCTGTAAATGGGACTCCCACCAAGTGATCTACTACAACCACAAGTCCAATTGGAATGGGTGCAATAACGCCTGTTTACCAAAGCAAGAAAAATGTCAGGTCAGAGCAGGTTTACCCTGGCAGAGGGCACAATCTGAGAAAATATTTGGTTACCTGGTCCTCGTCGGTCCACAGCAACACCAAAGATAACATACACCAGAGTGAAGGTTAGCATCAGTTCCATCAGGAAGGCATTGCCCACGGATGTTCCGTGGCCAAGACTGTGGGTGCCCAGGTGACCCAGGTCTGCTGCAGGGATGGAAGCCCCTAACAGGGCAGCTCCGCAGATTCCCCCAACCAGCTGCAGACGAGCAAAATACGGTATGTGAGTTACGAATGACGTGGTTACTTGTGATCTTGAGACGCTGTATGAACTTTTACCTGAGCAGCGATGTATAGAGATCCTCTGATGATATTTTCTTTTCCAGCAACTACGAAGGCAAGGGTAACTACTGGGTTGATGTGGCCTCCAGAGATTGCACCGGTGCTTGCCACGAGAAAGGTAATAGCTAATCCATGAGCCAGAGCGATCGCAGTGAGTCTTGCGGATGTCAGCTCCGTTTCGAGGACCCCTGAATATAAACGCCGCGTTGGATGACGTGAAGCTTGCAGTACATCCTAGATGAGTGTGAAAAAATAATTACCTGATGCAACGACAGAACCACAACCCAGGTAAACGAACAGAAGTGTGGCGAGAAACTCGACGCCAATGGAACGCCATTGTTCTTTGGACTTAAGGGACTTGTACTCGCCAAGCTCCACCTGTAGGCCGTCTTTTGGTTAAAGGCTGAAACGGAAAGTTGTCTAATCCTCCACAGTCAAAGATCCTCAGACACAAACCTTCATAAAATTAAGCATTGTGACCAATCGAACAGCGCCTTCGACCATTGTGTGTAAGCCGCCGTTCTCGTCATGGCCAGGATCATGCTGGAGAATGGGCTTTCGCCCAAGTTCCTCGTGGTTATCGCGTTCGGCCATCTCCATGTCAGACTGAAATAAGGTCGCATCGAATCAAGTCACTGTCACGGATAGCTAGACATCGGGTGAGCCCCAGACCTAACTCACCATCATGTTTCAGACCCAAGCTTGAAATAGCACACAATTTCACGAGATGGACTTGGCACACAAAAAAGGCATCGGAGTTCGTCTTTCAGCAACAGCATATCACCTTCCTCTTCAGGGACGGGAATCCCACTGAAACGCTTCACATCCCTTTTCCATCCAACCGTTTACGTTTCCCCAACATCATTCAGAATGTTCTGACTTCGTTTCGTGTGGCGAAGAGCTTTTGTTGGTGAACCAGGCGGACGAAAAGCCGAGGACGGTTCGCCAAACCACGCGAAATTTCTGTTGAGAATCCAAGCTCAATGTTTTTGTCACGTGCTGAGTTTTCAGTCGCGGACGATCGATTCCGCATCGCACAGGAATGTCGTCCGTCGCATTCCGCCATCCTCTTCATTCCCAAGAGGTCATGGAGGGGCTTGTCACATTTCAGCTGACATGCCTTTCTGTTGAACATTCACACCACAGCCATGGCTCTTTCACGATGCTCGCATATAAGCTCACTAGCTCAGCCAATGCATTCCAGACGGACTAAGCGCCGTTTCATTGCGCATTTTTTTCAGACCCTCTTCTTACTTACCCATGGATCAAACTGTAACTCCCTCGCGATCGAGTTCGAGTCCGCAGGTCTCGACCGACTCTTCCTGCTTCACGCTGACCGACGAGCAAGCACTTCGTCCCATTCAGTCAGATCCGCCTGACGAGGAAAAAAAGGCTGATCATGAAGCTGACAGCCTTCTTTATTCACCGCTTGACATTCGTTGCAATTACGCTGAAAGTGCTGTTTCGGCGTTGAAAGTGCGTCCAGGACTACAGGCAGCAGACTTCGTGAATCAAGACAGCCTGTACATAGTGTCCGAGGACCTCACCGTGGATCATGAGGGTTTTGATTCGATTCCTTATTCCGAGGTGCGAAACTCGAAGGCGATAGCGGACTCGCCAGATCCGTCAACTCAGCACGACGAGGGCGAGAGTCCGTCGTCCATTTCCGAAGCGCATCACGACGATCAAGATGGCGACCCTCCCTGCGACACTCAGGACGGCGGGTGCTTCTTGAGCGACCTTGCAAGTGGCGAGTTACGGCTGCTGCGGAAAGACGAGCGGTGGGAAGATGGGTCGACGAATATCTTGCCACACGCCGCCGAGGAGAAGAAGAGGCGTCGCAGGAAGAAGAAAGGCCGGAAGTCGCGAACGCTGCTTCTAGTGTCCAACTCGAGGCTTCGGTCGCCGGGGCAAAGCCACACGAATCATGGACACGACGCAGGCATGGGAGGATCAGCTTGGGAACAACAGCATGGCGGAGGTGTGCGACAGGGAGCTCATGGCCCTCGATACTTCGCTAGAGACGGCAACCAGCACCAGACTCAGCTTCAACAGCAGCACCAGCAGCACCAGCCAGCAGTGTACACGCCAAAGCACTCCCCCACCCGTGCGTACTCTCACAGGCTTCCAACCACCATGGATGCTGCGGCTTGGGCGCTCTGCCATCACCCCTCTTCACCGCTCCGCAGTGCTCCCATAGGGGCTGTGGCCGCGGCTGTGGCTCAGGCTGCGAGTGCTGCGAATGCTGTGAACGCTGCGGGTGCAGCAGGGATGCCAGGAGGAGGTCACGGCTTCTGGCCCATGAGACGTGACATGATGGGTCCATGGCACATGGGGTCCATGGGGTCCATGGGTTCTATCAGGTCCATCCCCACCATCCCCATGCCCATGTCGCTTCACCTTCCAGTGGCTGCTCTGCCTCCCATGACCTCCACACCACCTGTTGGGTGCACCATGCAAGCTTCGCCTATGCCTGCACCGTTCGCAGCTGTTTCGCAGGCGAATCCAGTGGCGGCTCATTCCTGGCCTGCAAACAGATCGCCCGCTGCCAACGGAGCGAGGGGTGACATGGGAGGTGATGGAAGTGGGGATGCGGGTGTGGCAGACAACATGAGCGGTGCTGCTGGTGGGGGCGCAGTGGAGGAGTGCTTGCAGGCTATGCAGGCCATGTCCATTGACTTATCCAAGCCCTCCAGTCACGTTCCGCAACCATCCAAGTGGAGCAGTTTGGCGGAGGGTGCAGCAGGCAGAACTGGTTGCCAGTCGACGGGTGACTGCAGCAAGATCCAAGGGATTGGAAGCATGCCTTCTTCCTTGCACCCGCAGCGGCCATCCTCTGACAATAGTTCCTTATCAGCCACACCCTCGGTGCCCCACCAGCAAGCAGTACGGCATGTCCCAACCAATCAGCAGCAGCCGTGCTATTCCATGGATGCATACCCGCGTCTATCGCCTCCGTTCTTCTGGCATGAGGCTGTTTGGATGCCTGGCTTTGCTCTCTCCCATGGCTTCTTCCCTTCCTCCTCCACCAACACCAGAAGCAGCAGTGCAGCCAGCAGCAAGGGCGCCAGTAGCATGCCTTTCAATGGTGTGGCACACCCATTGGGACCATTCCCTGCATCGCTTCCTGTCCCAGGCAATGGGGTTATCAACTGGTCTATGCTACAGCAGCACCACATGTACATGCAGCAGCAGCAGCAACAGCAGCAACAGCAGCAGCAGCAGCAGCACCACCACCAGCAGCATCAAAAACAGCAGCAGCTACAGCAGCAGCAGGAGAAACAGGAGCAGCAGCTTCTCGTGAAACCTGTTCCATGGCGTGCAGAGGCCATAACCAAGGAGAGCAGCGCCGACAGAGGATGGCAGCAAGGTGTGCCAGGCACTGAAACTCCACAGCATGAACACGACATGAAGACTGGGGATGTGAGAGAGAACGTGGAGGAGAGTGAAGAAAAAGGAAGTGATTATGAAGAACCGTGTGGTACAATGGCAGGGAGTGAATGCAACAAGGGCGAGGAAACAGACAACAATGAAATTTCTCCAGACAGCCCGAAGGTGCATCATTGCTCCTCTTCTGCACATCAATCGCAGCCTTCACAGCCCGCACAGCGGCAGTCTCCTCTTCGGAGCAGAGCCCCATCCCGCCTCAAGCCATGTGACTCTGTTCATGTCCACCTCTCTCTCTCCCTCCAGATCCCCTCCCCGCGCGCCTCCTCCCGACTCTTCAGGAAGCCTCCACGTGCACGCAGATCCCCAGGCCTCAGAGTGCTGTCACCGGGCCTCAGTCCCACGCAAAAGCAGCTGCTTGCAGGGGAAGCTGCACACAGCATGGGGCTCAGAAGCCCGTCTTCTCCCCACTGTGCCGCCACTTCCCCGCGTCTGCGCTCCTGCCGCACTTCCTTTCCCCCTTGCGTCCCCCGCAGCAGCCCCACCTTTTCTTTCCTTCCGGATTCGCTGTCCCCGCTCCACTCGCCTCTGGTCCTCTCCCCCACTGTTGCCGTGCACATCTCACATCCCTCATCTCCAGTTGGACCCTGTTCCCCCCGCTGCTGTTTGCAAGGCACCAGTCCAACAAGGAAGGGCGAGAGTGTGAAGTGCAATATGGGCAATGGTAGGGATGGTGGAGGAGAGGATAGTCTAAAAGAGTCAGGCGAGGTGGAGAAGGAAGGGAATGTGCGCGCTGGAGTGGTTGCCAGTGGTGGGAGAGGGAAGGCTCTAAAACGAAGTCCTCTTGGGATGTGAGCCTGCCGAAACCAAATACCAATGCACACCCTAGCTCGGTTGTCATTCAGGTTTTTGTTTTATGCACGTGCTTAGGAAATGTAATGTGAATGGCCTGTTGATTGATTCATTCACGTGTAAATTGTTCCTAAAAAAAAAAGGTACTAACTGGAAGCCTATCCAAAATTATGGTCCATTTCGAAGCTACTCTTACTGGAAATTCGCGTTCTGGCGGGAATAGACTGTTGATTTTCTGTTCCCGGTTGCGGTTCTCCAATCGCTGACAAGCCAGTCGCTGCAGCGCAGGTTCTGCTCACCACCAGCATTGTTCCAGGTGCTTCGCCCCGCGCTCCCTCCTTCACTCACCTCATCCATTCGCCTGCGTGACCAAACCCTTGAGATAAAACGGCGAGATGCGATCTCACCTGATCAACATGCTCGCGCGACCAGGAACCATTGCATCTAGTGGGCTTCACATATCTTCTAGTGTGTTAGTAGAAGAGGCGTTTAGTGCGAGTGGTCGTGTTATTAGCTGGCAATAACAGCGAGCCACGCGCATCGCTCCGCCAGTTTCAATCGCCCGTCGCGGCGGGCCATGGCGTGGGATGATGCGATCGTGCCACAGCAAGGGTCCGGATTCCCGCTTCCGGATTACATACCCATCCGACGAAGTAAGCCTCTAGTTCCCGGTAGGTGCGCTCGATCCACAATGCAGTGCATTTTGCTGCAGTCGCTGGCGTCGTCTAGGTTCGTTGAATCCGTTCAATGCAGTTCCAGCGAGCAGTCGAGGAAGCTATACCTTCGCGGCATTCCGTGACCGAGTGCTCCTCTTGCGGATTCGCGAGTTCCGGTCACAAGGCGTCGACCCCTTGATCGCCCATGGGTTCATGAGAGGCATGGGTGTTAAGTCTGCGTCCTGTCGGCACGCCAGCCTGGCTCGGCTGGCCGCTCATATCCTTTGTTGTCTGGAACCCTCCTGCTGTGCCGGACCGTACTTCCCTGCATTCTTTCCCTGCCATGTCTCACCTTTTGATTCACTGGATTGGGGCTATGAGTGAAACCCACTTATGGGCTGGGGATATGTGTAGTGGCAAGTTTTGGAACCCGCGTACTGACCTGATTCCGCCACCGTCTTTATTCCGCTTTGCGCAATCATTTGCGTAGTCGTTTGCGGCCCTTTGCTTGATTGGAAGCCGCTTTCTGCCTAGGTTTGCTGTGTGAACATGAAAGCGGTGCATTGGCTTAAAGGGATTTGCGACTTGGCTCGACGGCTAGCAATAGAGAGGCGCTGCGAAGCGTCAGTCAGCCGCAGTCGCAGCGATTCTTCCCGCACACGCGCCAACCCTTTCCCTCCCTCTCCCTCCGCAAGTTCCAACCCTAGCCGTGCATCCCACAGCCCTTCCGCAATGTCTCCCGAAATTTACTCTCTTTCCGCCATCCTCCATTCTCTCTGCCACACCCCTCCCCAACCCGCTTCCCCGTTCGCGCAGACGAGTTTCTGGTGAAGCGGCCTGCTAAGCCGTCGGCGGCGGAGTCGGTGCAGTGCGAATGCCACAAGGGCGCGGGGGGGCGCGCGCGGGAGAGCATCACTGGCCGGGGGTGGAAACGACTGGTGGTGGCCGATGAGGAAGAGGAGGATGAGGATGAGGGAGAAGAGGAGGGGAGTGATGATGGGAGCTCGGATGATGGAGCAGAGGAGAGCGAGGAGGAGGATGAGGAAGAAGAGGAGGAGGATTCAGAATCGGAGGAAGAGGAGGGGGAGGAGGATGAGGATGGGGATTGGCAGGGAGGCAAGAGGAAGGCGAGTGCGATTAAGACGAGTCAGCAAGGAAGGACGGCCAAGTCAAAGTCAAAAGCGCAGGCGAAGCGGAAGGCCAAGAGAAAGAGGAGGCGGAGAAGAAACCTGTCCATCTGTGGCGAGACGTGCCTCTGCCGGTGTGTGTTCATTGCCACTCCTGCACCTCCTTTTAAGTCGCTTGCGCCTCTCCTTCCTCGCACCGTCTGCTCTCTCCGCTCCTCGCACATATCCGTTTCCTGTTTCGCCCTCTTCCTTTCCCTCTCCCTGCTCCCCGTTCCCCCTCCTCCCAATCCCCCCCGTCTCCCTCTCCTCACCTCCTCTCAACCCAGCATGCTGCACGTGAGTTGCAGCAAGCACTGCGGGTGCGGCTCGTCGTGTCAGAACGCGCCCTTCCACCGCCGCCCCTCGCGCAAAGTCAAGCTCTGCAGGGTGCGTCGCGCTGCCCGCGCCCCCGCCTCTCCATGTGCCCCCCACCTGCTCCCCTCATCTGCCACTGCACGCTTCTCCCCTCAGTCCGCTCTGTCATTGCTTGTCCCGTGGCCATCCACCTCATCTCCACATCCCTGCTCTTAGTCCACCCTCACGGTTTCTCCCTCGCATTGTTCCCCTCTTATTCTCCGCTCATCCCCTTCTTCTGTTCCGCATTTCCGCTCCTTATATCCCACATGCGCAGACGGACAAGTGCGGGTGGGGCCTCAAGGCAAACGAGGACCTCCCTGCTGGCTGCTACGTTATGGAGTATGTGGGGCAAGGTGAGAGCGTGGGGCAAGGTGAGTATGTGAGACTATTGGAGGCCAAGGTGAGTGTGTAGGGCAAGGAAGGGAGAACGAGAGGGACATTTCTATTTATCGCCACTCGCATGCATGCAGTTCTCGGCTGCTCACAGCTCACGTGTGACCCCCTCACCCCTTTCCCTCGCGTTCCCGCCTGTGCCCATGCTCCCACTCCGCCTTTCCTTCCTGTACCCATGCGCCCTCCCTCCAACCTGTACCATACACGCCCCATGTGCCATGCGCGGATCACTGAGCAGTGATAGACGACGCCACGTGCGAGCAGCGTCTGTGGGACATGAAGGCCGCCGGGGAAACCGACTTCTACCTCTGCGAGGTTAACCCCTGCAGCCCCCTGCCGCCCCTGTCGTTCCTGCCACCCCTGCCGCCCCTGCGCCCCTGTCACTCCGGCTATGCACTGCGCTGCCGTGTAAATCAATGCGATTCTATGAGGTTCACTTCGTTGCCTTTTTAATTAAGCACAAAGCACAGCTATCCCCGTTTTGTCCATGTCGTCTTTCCCTGTCGTCTCATCTCATCCTGCTGACCCTCTCTCTGCGCCCTGCTCCTTCTGCCCACGCCCTGCGCCCTGCCCTGTGCTGTGCTCTGTGTGAAATGGGCGAGCAGGTGAGCAGTGACATGATCATCGATGCGCGCTACAAGGGCAACCTCTCGCGCTTCATCAACCACTCCTGCAACCCCAACTGCGAGCTGCAGAAGTGGTCAGTCACTCGCCCCTCCGTCGCAAATACTCACCCGCTGCCATATCTGCTCGCCCGCTGTTAAATATGCCCACCCCACCACCACAGCTGATGAACAACTGATGAGTATTTGCTGACTTCACATGCCCTGTGAGTGCAGCTGATCCTTGACACTCTCTCGTGAACGCTCATCCCTCAAATTCTCTTGCCCCGTTCTATGTCTGTTGCTGTTGTTGTTGCTGCTGCTGTTATCCCGGTGCACGAGCAGGCAGATGGACGGGGAGGTGCGCATAGGCGTGTGCACGCTGCGCCCAGTCAGCAAGGGGCAGTTCCTCACTTACGATTATCAGTGAGTCCCCCTCCCTTACGCCTCCCCACCAATGTTGAAACTCTCGGCTACTTGATGCTTTCGCTTCCTCTCTGTTGGCGTTGTGCTCTCACGGCCTTGGTGCTCTTTCTCTTCTCTCACCCCAGGATACTCTTACTGCCGTTTGCCCACTGCATTCCCTCCTCCCCTTGTGCCCCCTCTCTCACACACACCCACGCTCTCGCACATGTACTTTTGCACACTCACCAGTTCCTCTGCCCTCTCTCGCCCCTCTCGCTCCTCTCGCCCCTCTCGCCCCCTTCTCCCCCCTTCCTGCTGCACGTGCAGGTTCATAGGGTTCGAGCTACGGCCCAAGGAGTGCCACTGCGGGGAGCCTAGCAACTTTCTCTTTCACGCCTTCAATCACCATCTCCTCTGCCCCCTCCTCTCTCCCCCATGCCCTCCCCGTCCCCTCCTCCTGCTGCACGTGTGAGCAGGTTCATAGGGTTCGAGCTACAGCCCAAGGAGTGCCACTGCGGGGAGCCCAACTGCCGCGGCCTCCTCGCCACGCGCACCATCTCCCCCTTCACCCTCCCCCTCCCCTTCCCCGCCCCCGCCCTCCCTGCGCTACCCCTTCCGCCCGCCCCGCCTGCCACCCCCCCGCGTGCAGGGGGGACCGTTCCCCCTGGGGTTATGCAAGGGAAGGGGAAGCGCGGAGGCATAGGGGGGAAAGGGGAGTTAGGAAAGGGGGAAGGGAGGGGGAAGAATGTGGTGGATGTGTGCGGGGGAGTTGTTACAGGGGGCAGCGGGGCAGGCAGGGGCGGGGCGAGGGGAAGAGGACGGGGAAGAGGAACGAGTTCGGGGCAACTAGCAGCAGTGGGAGTGGGGAGAGGAAGCGGGAGGGGAAGAGGGCGAGGCAGGTGGGAGGTGGAAGGGAGGGAGTGTGGAGAGAGGGTTGGTGGCAAGATGGGGAGAGGCAGGGGTGTTTCTGCAGGAGGTGCAGCAGCAGTGCCGACTGCCTTGGGGAGAGGTGCAGGCGGGAGCATCAGAGGGAGAGGGAGGGGGAGGGGGAGGGGGAAAGTGTGGGTGAAGCAGCCGAAGAGGCGGCATCTGTCAGAGCTGCATGCAGACGGGCACACTCTGGTGGGCGCTGGTGGTGCGGTTGTCAGACACCGAGACATGGCTGATGCTTCCCGTGTCAGGGCTAAGGGTGTGGCTCGAGAGGCGGAGGAGGAGGAGGAGGAGGAGGAGGAAGAGGAAGAGGAAGAGGAAGAGGAAGAGGAGGAGGAAGAGGAGGAAGAGGAGGAGGAGGAAGAGGAAGAGGAGGAAGAGGAGGAAGAGGAGGAGGAAGAGGAGGAGGAAGAGGAGGAGGAAGAGGAGGAAGAGGAGGAGGAGGAAGAGGAAGAGGAGGAAGATCTGCAGCAGCGTGGGGATGAGCTATCCGGGAAAGGGCCTCATGGGAGCAGGCGGCTCATTCCGGGACCAGGGTGGGCTCCCGTACCCCTGCTGCACAGCGCCAGGCGCAGACGCCAGGCACGGGGGGGGCGAGGGGGCATGCGCAGTGACGTGCACGGCAGCACTGCTGGCGCTGCTGCTGGGGGCAGCACTGCTGCTGGGGTCACCGGTGGGGAGGGCGGCGAGGGGGGGGGCGGTGGCAGGAGGGCGCAGGAGGGATCGTGTGTGACGTCAGTGGCTGCAGTGGGAGGGCGTGCTGCTGTGACGGTGGGTGGGTGCACTGGTGGGCAGGGGGACGTGGGCGTGGGCATGGGAATGGGTGTAGGCAGGGAGTGGGTCTCTTGCTGTCCTGCCACCCACTGTCACCTCTGTGCAGCTGCTGCGGTTGCTGGTGGTGGTGGTGGTTTCAAAGACCCTACTGGGCCTTGTCCGGCTGCTGCTAGTGCTGGCCCTGATTCTGCTGTTGCAGCTGCTGCTGCAGGGAGAGGAGCAGCCGGATTTAGTGGGAGCAGACTGGCAGAAGTAGGGGGGGGTCCTTTGGAGCAGAGAATCGGGGGGCAGCCTGTAGAGAGGGTCTACTCACGCAAGAGGCTAAAAACGGATGTGACTGTAAAGAAAGAGCAAGTCGGAGAGGAGCCACTGGGAGGTGTGAGGGTGTGTGCTGGTGCGGGCGAGAGGGGTGTGGTGGAGGTGAAGAGAGCGGGAGAGGAGGTGAAGAGAGCGGGGGAGGAGGTGGCGAAAAAGGGCCTCATGCATTATGGGAAGGAGTATCAGAGACGGAGGAAGCGGAATTGCGGGGAGGGGTCTCATGCCGCAGGTGGGCGAGTGGGGGAGAGTTCCTGTGCACCATGCACGTGCAGAGGCGCGGATGGTGCAGGGGGCGCGCATGCAGGGGCAAGGAGTCCTGCAATGATAGCTCTTGAGCACATGTGGCACATGGGTGCGGATCAACGGCCAGGATTGCAGGGCACGGCGGTGGAAGGAGCAGGACAGACGGTGCCGAGGAGTGGGTGGCAGAAGCAGGCTCTCTCTCTCCTCCCACCCGCCCCTCATGGCCCCTCATCGCCAGATGATGCATGTGATGACCTGCACACTCATGCCCACACCACCTCCCGCATCCCTGCCCATGCCCATGCCTCTGCCCATGCCTCTACTCCTGCCCATGCCCACACTCATGTCCACACGCATGCACATCCGTGTGTGCACATCCCCGCAGCATGCGGCCTCGCCTACCCTGCAACATGCATGCATCATCACACCCATGCCCTCGCCCACACCCACGCTCAAGTCCCATGTCACATGCATGCTGCTGCTGCCATGGCCCCTGACCTCTGCTGCCCCCATCATGTGGGGGCAGTGCACATGTGCGCACATGGCATGGCTTGCCCAGCAGCTGCAGCACAGGCGTGTGGCGTGGGAGTGGCGGCATTGAGGGGTGTGACTCCAGATGATGTGCCTGAAAGGGGGTCCGCCACTGGCAATGGCGCGCTTGCAGTGGGTGCACACGTGGACACTGCTGGTTGCACTGACGTGACACGTCAGCAGGAGCGGGAAAGGGGCGGGGGAGTCTTGGGAGGAGAGGAGGTCAAGAGAGAAGGGAAGGAGGGAGGGTTTGAAGGTAGACAAGGGAAAGGAGAGAGAGGGGGAAGGGGAGGAGTGAGAAGGGGTAGAGGAGGGAGAGGAGGGAGAGGAGGGAGAGGAGGGAGGGGAGATGGGAGAAAGGATGCCGCGACTGGTAGCGCCAAGCAGTTGGACGTTGCTGTTGCTGTTGCTGCCGCCAGTGGTGCTGTTGCAGGTGGGCAGGGCAGGAGCGGGGGTATGGCGGGCGTTAGAGCAGCAGCAGGGCTAGGCCGAGGGGGCAGTGGCAGCAGCAGGCACGCAGCAGCTAGGGTGGTGGCAGCTGCCATGTCTCGCGTGGCGAGGGGAGGGTGGGGAGGGCGAGGAGGGAGAGGAGGGAGAGGAGGGATGGGGAGCGTGCGGACGGCAGGGAGGGGTGGCGCGACCATAGGAGGGAGCAGTGATGTGGATACAGGGGGGGATGGTGCTGCCACCACGAGACGAGGGAGGGGAGGGCCAGGAGGGCGGGGGAGGGGGCGGAGGGGCGGGGGCGCGTGGTGGGGCGGGGGCGGGGGGCGAGGGGGCGCGGAGGCGGAGGGGGTGCGCGATGCCATGCTGGAGCGGCTGAGCCAGGCGCTGGTGGGACAGCGCGTGCAGCTCTGGTGGCCGCTCGAGCAAAGGTAAGGGGGGGAGGGGATGAGCGGGAGTTGGGAGGGGGGACTGTGGCCGCGCTGGTGGGACAGCGCGTGCAGCTCTGGTGGCCGCTCGAGCAAAGGTAAGGGGGGGAGGGGATGAGCGGGAGTTGGGAGGGGGGACTGTGGCCGCGCTGGTGGGACAGCGCGTGCAGCTCTGGTGGCCGCTGGAACAGAGGTGGGGAGGGGGGGGGGGGAAGGGGAAGGGGGAGGGGGGGAGGAGGTCGTGGCAGATTGCTCCTTTGCCTCTTGCTTCTCGCCCCTTGCCTCTCGCCCCTTGCCTCTCGCCTCTCGTCTTCTGTTCCTCACTTCTCCCCGTGCAATGCACCTCTCACTCACCCGTGTCCCCTGTGGGACTCCCTCCTGCTGCGCCTGCTCCCCCTCCTCCCCACTGTTTTCCCCCGCACAGGTTCTTTGCTGGTACTGTCATTGGTTTCGACCCCGTCACCATGAAGCACCATGTGAGTTGCCCACCATGAACCACCATGTGAGTTGCCCACCACTGTGCATGTGAACCCATATGCGTGTGATGTTAGCACCACCATGTGAGCAGCATGATTTGAGCAGCAGCATGTGAGCTGCGGCATGTGAAGGCTAGTGCACGGTGCATCTGATGTGAAAGAATGGCAGCAGGAGAGTCTGCACATGTGCCAAATGCCACGTTGCTCGTTCCACAGTCTGCATATATCCAACCCCCCTCTTCCTTCTCCCCGCACCCCACCGGCACTCCATATCTTCATCTTCTCCCCGGCCTGCCCCTATGGGCCTTCCGTTCCCACTTAATTCGCCTCACCCATGCGCACACACACTTCAAAAAACTTCCCCCACCCTCCCTCCCCTCGCCCCCCTTCTATCTCCTCCTCCACCCTCCCTCCCTTCCTCCCCGCTCTCTCCCTCCCCCCATCCTCCCTCTCCGTCCTCCTCCCTCCCATTCCCCCCCGCCCCTCCCGTGTGCGTGCAGGTGCGGTACGACGATGGGGACGAGGAGCACGTGGTGCTGGGCTGCGAGCAGTGGCAGCTGCATGGACTGTGAGATGTCCCACGGGTCACTTCTGAAACCTCCCCCTCCCTTTCCCTCCCATGCTTCCCCTCCCCTCCTGTCCCCCCCCCACTCCGTTCCCTTCCCCCCTTTTCCCCTGGGCGTGCAGGTGCGGTACGACGATGGGGACGAGGAGCATGTGGTGCTGGGCCGCGAGCAGTGGCAGCTGGATGGACTATGAGACGTCCCACAAGTCACATTTGGGACCCTCCCCTCCCTTCCCCTCCCATGCTTCCCCTCCCCTCCCGTCCTCTCCCCCCCTCCCCCCCACACCTTTGTTCCGTTCCCCCCTTTCCTCTGTGCGCACAGGTGCGGTACGATGATGGGGACGAGGAGCATGTGGTGCTGGGGCGCGAGCAGTGGCAGCTGGAGGCTCACCAGCCGGGCAGGGCGGGCAGGGGCGCGCAGGGGGGGGACTGCATGGGGAGAGGCGCAGGGGAGGGCGCTGAAGGGGGGAAGGAGGGCGGGGAGGAAGGGGAGGGAGCAGTGGAGGGTGCAGGAGGGAGAGGCAAGGGGGTGAAGCGAGATATAGGGTCGGGCAGTGCTGCTTGTGCTACTACGGGCAAGGGCAAGGGCAAGAGGCTTGCGGATGTTGCACCCCTGCCGAGCCTAGCGGATGCGCCGAAGCTGTTTGGTTCGGCGCAGCGGCCAGGTTTGGGGCTGAGCCGGGCGGAGCAGGAGGCACTGGCGCGACAGCAGGCGCTGGTGGGGCGAAGGGTGGAGGTGTGGTGGCCGCTGGAACAGAGGTGCGCGGGGTGGGTGGGAGGGCTGGAAGGGAAGGTGTGGCAGGAGCACAGTAGTGTGGGGATGGGGCAGGGTGCAAGTGGGGGGGGTGAGTGGAGCAGCGCTTGGGGGGGGGAGAGTCACAATGGGAGTGTGGAAGGAAAAAGAATAGCTGACTTTTTGTCAGGAGCCTCTTACACCTGCCTCGACAGCCACGCGTTACTCCTCCCACCCACCTCATCTCCTCCCCTCCACCTATCCTCCTATCCTCTCCTCTCGTCTCCTTCCCCCCTTCATAAGATCGTTTCTCGTGGCACCATGCCACCTGCATCACTTCTATCCTGACTCCATTCAAACCTCCTTTCCTGCATGTTTGCCCTTGTTTTTCATTGTGCGCCACTGCTCTCTGCGTCATCTGATCACGTGCCTCTCTTGCTCGTCGCCTGTCCCCGGGGCAGGTTCTTCAAGGGGGTCATTGCCGCCTACGATGCTTCCACTCGCAAGCACAGGGTGCGTGCCAATAGCAATGTGCCACCTGTCATGCCATCGCTCTTTTTGCCTCTCTTCACTGATCTCTGCATTAGTGAACGCCACGCTTGCACTCTGACATCCCTCTCCCTCTCCTTCCCTCCTTCTACCTCCCTCTCTCCCTCTCTCCTTATCCCCCTCCCTTTTGCTCTCCCCCCCACTCCCTCCCCCTTTCCCCTCTCTCGTCTCTGCCAGGTGGCGTATGACGATGGTGACGTGGAGCACGTGTCACTGCGTGCGGAGCGCTGGCGCTATGAGAGACAAACCGTGCCGCCCACGGCCTGCTACTCGCTGCCCTTCTCCTGGCGATCCGAGGTACGGAGTGGGGGCTGCGTAGTCTGTGGCGTGTTCTGTGGGGTGTCGGGTGTGTGGTGTGCGGGGTGGGGTGTGCAAGGTGGGGTGTGTGTTGTGGGGTGTGTGGAGTGCAGTATGAGGTCTGGGCTGTGGGGTGTGCTGCGTGACGTGTGGTGATCGGGTTGTGCAGTAAACTTGACGTCTGGTATCAGTGATGTATATCAGATAGCTCCTTCTCTTGCGCCCTTCCTCTCCTCTCTCGCGTGTCCTCCCCCTTCCCAGCCCCTGCCCCGCATGCGTCGGGAACAACATCACCTCACGAGGTCTCACACTCCCTGCATGCACTCACGCACCCCCTCCCCTCTCCGCTCCTCCCCCCCTCGTCCCCACCCGCCATCCCCATCTCCTGGCTTCCCCCCTTGGTCCCGTTCCCCCAGCCACTGACCCACCGTGCGGTGCGCGACCTGCAGGGCGAGCAGATCAGGATTTGGGCGCCGCAGCTTCACAGGTGCGCCAAGGGGGGCGCAGGGGAGATCAGGGGAGTGGGGGTTAGGAGGGGAAAGGGTAGCGCGTGGAGGCGCTTTGGGAGGGGAATGGAAGCGCCTTCAAGTGCGCCATGCAGCACACCTGCACAGGCGCTTTGGGAGGGGGAATGTTCTGCCTGTGCAGGTGTGCTGCATGGCGCTCTTGGAGGGATGGGTGGTGGGGAGAGGGCAAGGGGGAGTGGGTGTGGCATGGAGGTGATGGGTGGATCAATTGTTGAAATTCTATGCTTGGGAAGGATAGGGGAGGTGAGAGAGAGTGATTGACAGGCAAAGGAGGGAAGCGTGGGTGAGATGGGTGTTGGTCGCACCACATACAATCATCCGTGGTCACACATGTTTTAACTCAGCACCTCATCTCTGCCTGTCCCTTGCCCCTCCTTCCCATCCCCCCTCACTCCCACCTCTGTCCTGTGTGCTCTATCATCTGCCACCCACCCCTCTCACCCCTTGCCCCCCCCGTCCTCCCCTGGTGCGCGAGGGCAGGTTCTGCAGCGGCACGGTGGTGTCGGCGGCACACAGCAAGTTTACTATACAACTGCCCCATATACCTGGTCCTTTCACCTGCCAACCCTCCCTACTCCCCCCTTGTCCCTCCCCCTACTGGGTACTGGCAGGTTCCGCAACGGCACGGTGGTGTCAGTGGCGCACAGCAAGTTCACTATAGAGGTGCCCGCCTGCCCTCATGCGCCCTGCCCTGCCAACCCCCCTCCCTTGCCTGTCATGTCACCCCCGCTCCCTGCCACGCCATTCCCACTCCCCTCCCAGCAATGCCACCCCTCCACATGCCATGCCACCCCTTCCAAAGCCGCATATCCACAATTCCTCACTTTCTTGCACTCGGCTGTCACGCTATCCCTTTTGAGGATTCTAAAATGCTACTCAGCTTCAAACCACTCGTTGCCATGCTGCCCTCAACCCATAGCCGTGCCATGGTCATGCCACTGCCGCTAGTCACTTTTCTTATCACTGACATTCCTCCATACCTTACCCAATCTCTCCCATGTGTATCCTGTTCCCTGGCTGCACCCCCTACACCACCCTCCTATTCACATTGATGCATTCTGCCACATGTCTCTCCCACCGCCACCGTGCCGGTCAGTTTCTGTACGATGATGGGGAGATCGCAGTGCTGGACCTCTCACAGTGCCGCTGGGAGCTTGTTGACTCCGACTGACTCACCTTCTCCTGTGTCTACACCACACACACAGCCTTGGATTGCACTGCGCGCAGGTGAATTAGCTCACCTACAGATGTATACACCCCGGTGCAAGGGATAGTGGCCCCTGGAATTGTTCAGATCGCTGTGTGCTTACTGCACAGCTGGGTTGCTATGCATGTACGGTAGTTTGATGCAGACTTTGAACTGAGGAGTTGATGCAAGTCACGTTGCAACATACCTGGTTCGTTTAATGCGGCCAAGTACGTAAAAGAACGAGAAACAATGGTTCGTGTTGGTGGAAACTCAAAATTGACTTCAACCCATTTCTAACGCGCTGGACCCCATTGATTGACCAGGTAGGTACGTAAAATCGTGACCTGACCTGCCCTGAGATGCAGTATTCAAATAATTTAATAAGTCGTACCACTTTATCCTAGTAAGTGTACTACAGCACTGTTTGCGTTTCCGCTGTCACGTCACGTGCATTCCAAATCAAGATCTCAGCTTCCCTGCAACATTGGATTGGAGGGTCAACAGGCCCACTCTCCAACCACGCCAATGGGGCGACGAAAACGTACAGTACAGTATTTTCTACAGTAGTCGTGCTTGCACAGAACCGACCACAAGACCATTGTGGAAGCCGTGTGCCTTTTGAACAGTAGAACCTGGTCGGACAGTTGTTTCAGTAGGTAGGCACAAAGTCAAAGGTGAAGCTAAAACTGTTCTGTACACGGCAAAGCAGCCGTCGTACAGACTGTACACGGCTTAAACTGAGGTCGAGGTTTATACTGTACTGTAAGAGTTGTAAAATCACGTTTCTAGAGACCAGGTTTCCCAGGCTTTCTAGAAGGGATGTAGTTTCTCTCTCCGGATTCCTCTCTAGGCAAATACACTTCAGAGAAGCTCCACCACCAGACAGCGACCCCGTATCCGCTTTCGTACAGCTTAGTGCCACAGAACCACCACTGCAACTTCTGTAACAACTCGGATGAAACGATTCAGGGAGGGCATGCCGTGTCGAGCATCCCACGTTTGTTGAAAGTGCACTGTGCTCATGGGCACTCAGAAACAGTGTACAGTACGTGTACTTTCTCCGCGTGAGTGAAACGCGGGGAGCTTGCAGCTCACGGTCGCTTTTGGCGTCATTCGTCTCTACGGAAATGTATCCACGCTCAAGGCACCGCGTACGGCATTGATTAGCTCCGCGTTGATCGTGCGCTGGCATCGTGATTCGTGAACTGCGAAGCAGCGGCGTTGTCGAGAGGCGGATGAAGAAAGTTTGACGAGATACAGTTCGGTGCGTGAGTCCATTCCGAGTCGCATCCAGGGGTGCAGTGCAGTGGCACCAACCTGCGGGTGTGGAAATTGATTTAGAAGTTACTTCTCATAATTTGTGTCTGCAGTATAACCCACAAGATTCTAGAATGGTTATTCCATAATCAGGATGTAGAAAACTGTGGCGAATTCCAACGTCATTTGGGAGGGAGATAGACATTGAAAAGTAAAGCATAATAGGGTAGCCTGAAAACTGGAACCGAGCTTACTCGCGTTGTTCAGCCACACAGTCTCCGTCTACACATCCGTTTGCCAGCCAGCAAAGCAACATCACGCGGACCGTTCGAACGACTCTGCTACCGCCCTTGACATGAGTCTCTTCAAAACTGGCATGTTGTTATTTCCCTTCTCGACACCAACGCAACGCACGAGACGTTCGAGAGCACAAGATTCGACACCACCATGCCTCCGTGCGCTGAGATAGAAACTCTTATCCGCGACTCCAAGCCTCGCTTTTTCCTCTTATCTCTTATCCTTGGAAGAAGATCTAAGAAAGTCTGACGGTTCTGGAGGGATCCAAGCCGACTCGACCAAAAAGGACGGTCGCGCAATCAAACGAGAACGAAGCGAAGAATCTATGTCGGCAGAAGAGGCGCCTCCAGCAATTGTTACTTCGTTGACTGCACCCACAGCGGCAGGCGAAGCGATCAACGACTCGTCCAACGCGAAATCACCGAAACCGGCGGCGGGAAAGACGGCGGGATCGTCTTCGAGCGCAGCGCGGCCGTGCAAGCGGTCGAAGCTGATCCTGTTTGAGCACCGACTGCCGCGCGACGGGCATGTGTGGCTCAAGTACGGGCAGAAGGAACTGTCAGGCGGCACGCACACCAGGTAAGGCCCTGCACGAGTTTTCCTTCATCTGGAATGACAGTGGGAAAAATTGTGGCTTTGGTTTCGTGTTCAACGCCCAAGGTTGCTTTGAAAGTGTTGCAGCTGCAAGCAGAAGCATAAGCATATTTCTAACTTACAATTCAATTGCAAGTTGCACGTTCTTTTAAGGGAGATCAGTCATCGTCGCGTGTGCCATGCCTGTTCTTATCAAAAACATTTCCCTTACGTTCTTTCAAGGAGGTCAGTCATCGTTGCCATGCCTATTCCTTCAAGGCCTTTTCAAATTGAATTTAAATTTTCCTTTCCCTTCCCCCATATCCTCCTTCCTCCAGGCACTACTTCCGCTGCGCGCACCGCGTGGGCGACGAGCAGTGCGATGCGAAGCGCGTGGTGGACTTCAACAAGATTTCGCCGGCCAGCGACCTCGCCATCTCCTACAGCGGCCGGCACCTGCACGCGCCGCCCGCCACCATCATGATGGGCCTGCACGCCGCCGCGCTCCCCTCGCCGCACGCCGCCGCTGATGCGTCGCCTGTTGGCGGCAGCGGCGTCGGGTGGGCAGGCGAGCAGCGGCTATCCGCTGAGCGGGAGAGTGCAGCGGAGAGTGAGGGCGGATGGGCGGGGGAGACGGGCGCACCTCGGGAGGCGACGCCGGGCGTGGCAGCAGCAGGTGCGGCTGCTGCAGGCGGCGGTGGGTGGAATGGCGCTTCGGGACAGGCAGCCGCCACTGCTGCTGGCCTGGCAGCTCAGTGGCACGAATGGCGGCAGGAGGAGAAGATGAGGGGGACGGCGGTGGGGGCAGCTGCAGCTGGAGGGGGGGCCAGAGGAGGTGGTGATTTGTTTGGGGCGCAGCCAAGCACGGATCGGTTGGGGGCGAGTGGAGCACAGCAGCCCATGCCCGTGCTTACTCCCCCCCAGCACCATCCGTCCGCGTCCGCCTCTGCGTCTCCCCTTCCCCCCACCAGCAGCGCTGCGTGGCACCACCCCCCCTCTGACTCCGCCCCGGTCACCCCTCAAGGCCCTGCCACGTGCGGCTTGCCATGGGCTGCGGACGAGGCGGGCGCGGGGGGCGTGGCTGCAGCGGAACGCGCTCCTCCTGGGGCGCAGTGCAGCGAGTGCACGTGCTTCCGCCAGCCGGTGAATGCGCAGATGATGCAGCAGCAGCAGCCGTCCCCCCACTGGTCGCACGAGCAGCAGTACGAACAGCAGCAGCAGCACTCGCAGTGGCAGCAAGGGCAGCATCAGCTTCAGTACCCAATGCAACACGAGCAACCACAGCAACAGCAACAACAGCAACAGCAGCAGCAACAACAGCAGCAGCAGCAGCAGCAGCAGCAGCAGCAGCAGCAGCAGCAGATGGCAGGCGCAGCAGCGGGCTGGTCGCAGGCGAGCCAGCAGCAACAGTACAGCAGCGACCCCCTTCACGTTCACCTCAACCACCACAGTCACCCCGCCGCCATGGGCGCAGCAGCGCCCGCCGTGGCAGCCCCGCCCGCAGTAGCCCGCCTGAGGCGCGCGGACGAGCGGCTGTCCGCGGACGACCTGCACGCCATGGCCGCGCATGCCGCCCACTGGGACCCCCCCGCGCCCGTGGCACAGCCTCCGCATGACACACTTTCCCTGGAGCTGCCGCTTTCCGCTCGCCCTGCCCTCACCTCCCTCGCATGCCCCTCCGACCCTCTCCCCTTTACGACGCTCGCCTTCTCGCAACCCAGCACTGCCCCCACGTCCTTCACGCCCTCCTTCCCCCCGCCCCCTCCGCTGCTCACCCTCCCGCCCCACTCCTCGTTCCTGACTCTCACGGGCGCAGACGCCCCCCCGACCCCGCCGCCATGCCGGAGTGGATGCGGCGCCTGCAGCGCTGCCGCAGCAGCGTGGCATGGCAGCTGTTGCAGGGGGAGGGGGAGGGGGAGGGGGAGGGGGAGGGGGAGGGGCAGGCGCAGGGCGAGGGGGAGGGCGGGCCGCGGCGGATTCTGATCTCAGAGAACAGCTTTGGCGCGCTGGTGGTGCAGAATGTGCTCACAGGCACTGCAGGCGTGGGGGTGTGCGCGGGCAGCGGGATGGAGGGCGCAGGGGAGAGCGGGGGGCCCGTGGGGGGAGGGTTGGCAGGCGGGGATGTGGCTGTGATGGCCGGGGGGTTTGGGGCAGAGATGGCAGCGGGGTGGGCGGGAGAGACAGTGGGGGAGAGTCAGGTGGGGGCAGAGGGGGCGAGGCAGGAGGAGCAGCAGGGGGAGAAGCAGGAGCAGGTGGTGTGGCGGGGTGAGAGCAGCGGGGTGGGTCGAGGGGGAGAGGTGTCATTTGATGCAGAACAGCTCTTCTCCCTGCTGCACAGCCTGCCCACCCTCGACTGCCCCATGCCTGAGTGACGCCCCCTCATGCCCCACTGCCGCCGCCCCTTGCGCCAGTGACGTCCCCCCTTTGCCCACTGCCGCCCCCCCATCGCCACTGCCGCCCCCCCACGCCCCACTGCCGCCCCCTCATTGCCCGCTGCCCGCCCCCCCATGCCCCACTCCCCCCGCCCCCCCCAATGCCCCACTGCCCGGCCCCCCATGCCCCAGTGACGCTCCACACCTGGTGCTTGCCAGCCCTCCCAGAGCGGTGTTAGTAATGCTGCAGTGACACGCATGTCTGCTAGTGAACAAGCCGATTCTGCCTGTATACAAAGCTGATGCTGTGTGCCACATGCGCCAGGCTTAGTTAACCTTAGCTTCATCTTGTACCATATCTTCTGTAAGCACTGTTTGATGTCAGCACGGGCAAGGCTTTGCAAACAGGGGCGAGAAAGGAGGCGTGAATGAGCATGAGTGAATCCCATCCATTCCACAGCACCTGGCTATCGAAATACAGGGATGAAATTATGCACAACATGTGGGGATTGAAGCAAGAGGGAGGGTCCGCATTTGCCATGGGCAGGCGGGGTTCTATAAGTTTGAATGTGAACAGGTCGCCTCGACCGCTCCCCCTCACTGCCACACGTCCAGCAGCGGTAGCAGCAGGTTAGTGCTATGACCTCCCACTGCTGGCGCCCATTGTACACATCCACAGCGTAATGCTGGAAGTGCCTCACCACCCGGTGCTGCCCTTCACTGCCACACACCCAACAATTGCAGCAAGATGTTGGTGTGGTGCACCTCCTGCTGCTGCCGTCCGTTGTACACATCCACTGTGTGGCGCTGGAAGTGCGCCATCCCCTGCTGCTGCCCTTCACTGCCACACAAGAGGTTGGCACGGCGCACCTCCCACTGGGGGCGCCCGCTGTACGCGTCCACGGCATGGTGCTGGAACTGCGCCATGCCCACCTCCTTCCGCATCTGCCTCACCACCTGCTGCCCGCCACTAGCAACCGTCACTGCCACACATCCAGCAGTGGCAGCAAGAGGTTAGAACGGTACACCTCCTGCTGCTGTCGGCCGTTATACACGTCCACGGTGTGACGCTGGAAGTGCGCCATGCCCACCACCTTCTGCATCTGCTCCACCGCCCGCTGCCCATCACTTCCGCCTGTCACTGGAACCCGTCACTGCCAGCCATCACTGCCACACGTCCAACAGCGGCAGCATGAGGTTGGCACGGTACACCTCCAACTGCTGGCGCCCGTTATACACATCCACGGCGTGGCGCTGGAATTGCTCCATCCCCACCGCCTTCTGCATCTGCCTCAGCGCCCACTGCCCCCCCTTGTGCGTGCCCCCCTGCCCCGCTGCTTCCATCCCCTGCCCCCTCTCCCATGCCATGTGAACCGCCTGCCAGGGGGTGGGGGGTGGGGGGGAGGAGAGGGCGTGGGGATGAGGGAGGGTGGAGAATAGGGTGGGAGGGAAGTAAGGGTGGGGGAGCGAGGAGCACGGGGAAGATTGGAGGGCGAGTTTTCTGGGAGAAGAGGCGGATGGAGGGGCAATGCGGGAGCATGGGAGAGCAAGGATCAGCACAGCGGCAACACTGGCGCAGCACAGGAACGAGCACACACCTTGAGCCCAGCCATCCATGCATGGAACGCCAGCACCCAGCCAGTGATCATGGCGCTCTGCCCTCTGGTGGACATGCCCTCATCCACGCATGGCCCATCCACCCATTCCCCGTGCACGCACCTTGTGTCCCGCCATGCACGCACCTTATGTCCCGCCATCCACACATGGAACGCCAGCACCCAGTCAGTGACCATGGCGCTCTGCCCTCTGGTGGACATGCCCTCATCCAGCCCCCCCATGCTCTCCCACACCCCCCGCCGCACCACCAGCGGCCCCGAGTCCACCACCCCCGCCATGTACCCGCGCACGCCCGCCCGTGCCTCCCACACCGGCTGCGCCCACAGCGCGCGGCTCTGCCTCTGATACGCCCTCACGCCCTCGCCCTTACGACTATCCACGTCCACTTTCCCTGTGCGGTACCCCAGGGCTGCGAGGGAGGGCAGTGCGGCGTGGGCGTGCAGGAGGGCGTGCAGCCAGCGGCAGGAGGCGGGCGGGAGCAGGTCGTCTTGGAGGAGAGTGAGCAGGGGCGCGCGGGAGGCGGCGGCGGCGCGGTTGAAGGCGAAGACCTCGTGGGTGTTGTGGCGGAAGATGACTCGCAGGAAGGACGGCTGCTGGGTGCAGCCATGGTGCTCGCATGAAGGAGAGGGGGAGGGGGAGGGGGACGGGGGATATGAGGGGGGTGCGAGTGTGGCGTTGGTCGGCTCGGTGCCGGGTTGACTCGGCAGCGGTGGCAGCGACAGCCCTGCCCAGTGGTTTACTGCCTGCCCTCCCCCCTCAGCTCCCCCCTGCCCTCCCCCCTGCCCTCCCTGCCCTCCCTTCCCTCCCTGCCCTTCCTGCCCCCCCTGCCCTCCGTGTCCTCCCCCCGTGTCCTGCCACATCTGCAGCCAGAGCGGCCAGGAGGAGGGTTCATCCACATTGGCCGTCAGCTCTATCCCGCACCCCGCCTGCCCTCCCCCGCCCTCCCCCCCCGCCATGCCGCCACCCTCCGCCGCCCCCGCCCCTGCACCTCCTCCCTTCCCCGCCCCTGCACCTCCTCCCTTCCCCGCCCCTGCACCTCCTCCCTTCCCCGCCCCCCGCTCATCCCAACTCACCTCGCCCCCCAGCCCCGCCCACGCCGCCCCTCCTGCCCCCCCAACCCTGCTCCCACCCCCACTCCCATGCCCTTGCTCCTCTCCTGCGCTCCCAGCAGAACCAGCGGCAGTGGTAGCACCAGCAGCAGCACCGCCGTCGCTGGCAGCGCAGGCGTGCAGGCGGGAGACAAGGGGTTGCACGTTGGAGGGCTGGTTGAAGTACTGCAGCAGCAGCGACATGCCCACTGCTGCCTGGGGGAACAACTCGCGCCGCCGCTGCCACACAGCCACGTCCCCCCTCACGCCCACACACGCCCGCGCCTCCCGCCCCTGCTCGCCCCCCCTGCACCGCCGCCCCCCGTCTGCCTCTAGCAAACCCTCTCCCGGTTTCTCCCGTTGCACTCCCTCCCCCTCGCCCGCCTTCCCCCCGCCTTTCCTCCTCTCCTCCTCTCGCAGTCTGAGCGTCCCTCTCTCTTCTGCCGGCAGGTCTAGCTCGTCCCCGCTATAAGCACACTCGGTAAGCAGGCGCTGGCGCAGAGCGGAGAGGGAGGAGCGCAGAGCAGAAGGGGGAGAGTTGGGGGGGCGGGGAGGAGAAGAGGCGGAAGGGGGGGAGCGCGGGGGGAGCAGGGACTGCAGGTAAAGCTGCAGTGCGCGTTGGTACTCTTCCCTGGCGGTATCAAATGTGTCTCTCAGCGCCACGCATGCTGCTGCTCTCCCCCTCACGCCCCGCCATGCCACCCGCCTCCACTGCCCCTCGCCCCCGCCCCACTCCTCCAGCCTCCCCCCCGCGTTGAGCCACGGGGAGGGGGAGCGCGGCAGTGAGGGCGAGGGCAGCGCGGAGGGGGGGAGCGCGGAGGGGGGCAAAGAGGCGTTGACAAAGAGAAGTCGCACCCCTCTCTGACGTACGTGCTGACAGGGAAAGGGAGAGTGCACGGGCGGAGGAAACAAAGAGAAGAAGAGAAGAACAAAGTAGTGGGGAGGTGAGAAGAGGAGAGTGGAGAAGAGATGGCAAAACGCAGAATGTGAAGGGAAAGGGAGCGCTGAGAATCCAGCAGGCAGGGCACACGCAAATGCAGAGCAGAGCGCACGGAGGGCACACGCAAATGCAGAGCAGAGCGCACGGAGGGCACACGCAAATGCAGAGCAGAGCGCACGGAGGGCACACGCAAATGCAGAGCAGAGCGCACGGAGGGCACACGCAAATGCAGAGCAGAGCGCACGGAGGGCACACGCAAATGCAGAGCAGAGTGCACGGAGGGCACACGCAAATGCAGAGCAGAGTGCACGGAGGGCACACGCAAATGCAGAGCAGAGCGCACGGAGGGCACACGCAAATGCAGAGCAGAGCGCACGGAGGGCACACGCAAATGCAGAGCAGAGCGCACGGAGGGCACACGCAAATGCAGAGCAGAGCGCACGGAGGGCACACGCAAATGCAGAGCAGAGCGCACGGAGGGCACACGCAAATGCAGAGCAGAGCGCACGGAGGGCACACGCAAATGCAGAGCAGAGCGCACGGAGGGCACACGCAAATGCAGAGCAGAGCGCACGGAGGGCACACGCAAATGCAGAGCAGAGCGCACGGAGGGCACACGCAAATGCAGAGCAGAGTGCACGGAGGGCACACGCAAATGCAGAGCAGAGCGCACGGAGGGCACACGCAAATGCAGAGCAGAGCGCACGGAGGGCACACGCAAATGCAGAGCAGAGCGCACGGAGGGCACACGCAAATGCAGAGCAGAGCGCACGGAGGGCACACGCAAATGCAGAGCAGAGCGCACGGAGGGCACACGCAAATGCAGAGCAGAGCGCACGGAGGGCACACGCAAATGCAGAGCAGAGTGCACGGAGGGCACACGCAAATGCAGAGCAGAGCGCACGGAGGGCACACGCAAATGCAGAGCAGAGCGCACGGAGGGCACACGCAAATGCAGAGCAGAGCGCACGGAGGGCACACGCAAATGCAGAGCAGAGCGCACGGAGGGCACACGCAAATGCAGAGCAGAGTGCACGGAGGGCACACGCAAATGCAGAGCAGAGCGCACGGAGGGCACACGCAAATGCAGAGCAGAGCGCACGGAGGGCACACGCAAATGCAGAGCAGAGCGCACGGAGGGCACACGCAAATGCAGAGCAGAGCGCACGGAGGGCACACGCAAATGCAGAGCAGAGCGCACGGAGGGCACACGCAAATGCAGAGCAGAGCGCACGGAGGGCACACGCAAATGCAGAGCAGAGCGCACGGAGGGCACACGCAAATGCAGAGCAGAGCGCACGGAGGGCACACGCAAATGCAGAGCAGAGCGCACGGAGGGCACACGCAAATGCAGAGCAGAGCGCACGGAGGGCACACGCAAATGCAGAGCAGAGCGCACGGAGGGCACACGCAAATGCAGAGCAGAGCGCACGGAGGGCACACGCAAATGCAGAGCAGAGCGCACGGAGGGCACACGCAAATGCAGAGCAGAGCGCACGGAGGGCACACGCAAATGCAGAGCAGAGCGCACGGAGGGCACACGCAAATGCAGAGCAGAGCGCACGGAGGGCACACGCAAATGCAGAGCAGAGCGCACGGAGGGCACACGCAAATGCAGAGCAGAGTGCAGGGCACACGCAAAGGCAGAGCAGAGCGCACGGAGGGCACACGCAAATGCAGAGCAGAGCGCACGGAGGGCACACGCAAATGCAGAGCAGAGCGCACGGAGGGCACACGCAAATGCAGAGCAGAGCGCACGGAGGGCACACGCAAATGCAGAGCAGAGCGCACGGAGGGCACACGCAAATGCAGAGCAGAGCGCACGGAGGGCACACGCAAATGCAGAGCAGAGTGCACGGAGGGCACACGCAAATGCAGAGCAGAGCGCACGGAGGGCACACGCAAATGCAGAGCAGAGCGCACGGAGGGCACACGCAAATGCAGAGCAGAGCGCACGGAGGGCACACGCAAATGCAGAGCAGAGCGCACGGAGGGCACACGCAAATGCAGAGCAGAGTGCACGGAGGGCACACGCAAATGCAGAGCAGAGCGCACGGAGGGCACACGCAAATGCAGAGCAGAGCGCACGGAGGGCACACGCAAATGCAGAGCAGAGCGCACGGAGGGCACACGCAAATGCAGAGCAGAGCGCAGGGCACTCGCAAATGCAGAGCAGAGCGCAGGGCACACGCGAATGCAGAGCAGAGCGCACGGAGGGCACACGCAAATGCAGAGCAGAGTGCACGGAGGGCACACGCAAATGCAGAGCAGAGCGCACGGAGGGCACACGCAAATGCAGAGCAGAGCGCACGGAGGGCACACGCAAATGCAGAGCAGAGCGCACGGAGGGCACACGCAAATGCAGAGCAGAGCGCAGGGCACGCACAAATGCAGAGCAGAGCGCACGGAGGGCACACGCAAATGCAGAGCAGAGCGCACGGAGGGCACACGCAAATGCAGAGCAGAGCGCACGGAGGGCACACGCAAATGCAGAGCAGAGCGCACGGAGGGCACACGCAAATGCAGAGCAGAGCGCACGGAGGGCACACGCAAATGCAGAGCAGAGCGCACGGAGGGCACACGCAAATGCAGAGCAGAGTGCACGGAGGGCACACGCAAATGCAGAGCAGAGCGCACGGAGGGCACACGCAAATGCAGAGCAGAGCGCACGGAGGGCACACGCAAATGCAGAGCAGAGCGCACGGAGGGCACACGCAAATGCAGAGCAGAGCGCACGGAGGGCACACGCAAATGCAGAGCAGAGCGCACGGAGGGCACACGCAAATGCAGAGCAGAGCGCACGGAGGGCACACGCAAATGCAGAGCAGAGCGCACGGAGGGCACACGCAAATGCAGAGCAGAGCGCACGGAGGGCACACGCAAATGCAGAGCAGAGCGCACGGAGGGCACACGCAAATGCAGAGCAGAGCGCACGGAGGGCACACGCAAATGCAGAGCAGAGCGCAGGGCACATGCAAATGCAGAGCAGAGCGCACGGAGGGCACACGCAAATGCAGAGCAGAGCGCACGGAGGGCACACGCAAATGCAGAGCAGAGCGCACGGAGGGCACACGCAAATGCAGAGCAGAGCGCACGGAGGGCACACGCAAATGCAGAGCAGAGCGCACGGAGGGCACACGCAAATGCAGAGCAGAGCGCAGGGCAGAGCAGAGCAGAGCAGAGCAGAGGGCGCAGAGCACACACGCACGCACGTGGAAGAGAGAGGCAAAGAGCGACCAGCGGGAGAAGCGGCGGTGCAGCGGCAGCAGCAGCGACTGGTGCAGCCGCCCCCACGCCTGCTGTGCGTGCAGGTGCTGCTGCCGCTGCAGCAGCTGCTGCAGCCGCGACTGTTGGTGCGTGGTGCTGCAGGGGGTTGCAGGCAGGGGCGCGTGGGGACGCACAGGCGAGGGCGCATGGGGGGAGGGGAAGGGGAAAAGGGAGAGAAGAGTGATATGGGTGGCAGGGGGCGCACGGACCGGAGATGGTAGGATGGTGGGACGGATGGAAGGTTGGAGGTGGGAAAAGAGAATGTGGCATGGGGATGGTGGGATGTAACATGTGGCATGGGGTGGGAGCGAGGGAGGGCAGTACCCGAGGGTGGTGCCTGCTGCGGCAGATTGTGGGGTAGCTTCGGACGAGGTGCTATGATGGGCCTGAGGGGAGGGGGATGGGAAGACGGAGGGTGGATGGGACGATGGGAGGAAGTGAGAGCAAAGAAGATATGGTGTGGTGGAGAAATCAGCAGACGGCAGCATGGTATAGAATAGCACAACAGTGGCAGCACAAACAGGCGGCATGGCGAGCGAAATGCTGACAGACTGGCATCACGGCTCGGCACAGCAAGGCACGGCGCAAGGCACGGCACGGCAAGGCACGGCACGGCATGATGCGGCACAGCATGGTAGGGCACGGCAGGGCAAGATAGAGCAGAATATCATACGGAGGGCGGCAGGCGAGCGAGCAGAGCGACGGCCCCCGCGAGGAGCAGCGCGAGCAGCACGGCGCGCGGGTTGGTGAGGAGCGGGTGGGCGTGGAAAGGCGCGCAAGGGAGGCGCAGGTTGTAGAAAAAAGGGCGAGGAGAGGCGGGGCGAGGGGAGGCGGGGCGAGGGGGAGGGGCGCTTGCATCGGGTGACGCGGAGACACTGCTGCCCGCATGGGGGAGCGTGCCGAGGTGGGCGCTGTGGACAGGCAACGGGTTGGGGGGAAGGGAGAGGAGGGAGGGAGAGAAGGGAGAGAATGTGAGAGGAGGGTGAAAGAGGCAGCATGGCATGGGACTCGGACATGCGGGCGACAACCGTTCGCGTCTCCCCCGCCCACCACAGCCAGCGGCTCACACCCCTGCGAGCCACACGCCGGCCCCGCTCACCCAGCTCAACCCAGCCGCGTTTCAACATCACCCCTCACGCAACCGCGCCAACTGCCCCTCGGCCCGCCCCACAGGCTCTTTCCCCGCACCACTCCCTCCCCCCATCATACATCGTGCGCCTCTGCTGCGCGAATTCCACCCGACAGCGCGTCCCTCCCCCGCCTCCACGATCTCGCTCCAATCCGCGAAGGCGTCCCCCTTGCTGCCCCGCGCGGCCTCCCGACGCCGTTCCCCCCGCCGCGCTCCGCCGGCAGGCAGGGCGGCAGGCGGCACGGCGAGCGACGACGGGGCACTCATCGCTCCGGAAGGCGCAGGCGCGCCGCACTGGCAGCGACGACTCGGGGAAGGCGGAACGCGCGCGCGAATGAGATGCGCGCAAATTTGGGAGGAGAGGCGAGGAGAGGAGGAAAAGGCGGTGCGGAAAAGCGGACCGCGGGAAAGGGAGTCTACGGATAGGAGAGTGGACGAATAAGGGGACGCGCGATGCGAGACAGCAGCAGAGGAGGCGCGAGAAGGTGCGCGGCGTTGGGAAGGGCGAAAGCGGCGGTGCTGCTTGAACAGCAGAGCAGGTTTGGCGCGTGGTGGGGAAAAGGGGGTGAACACGTGGAGGGCGGACTGGAGAGGAGGAATAAAAGGGGGTGAACACGCATGCGTGCGTGCGTGTGCTGTAGTAAAACTGGAAAAGCTGGAAAAGTGTTTCATCTTCAGAGTACTAATAGCACCACTATTCTGGTATAAACTTGAATAAATACAAGACATGATTCACTGCTACCTTATGCTAAGCTGGCAAATTTAGCTTTGCCGTCAAAACACGTATCCAATCCATTTCAGTGCAAAACAGAGTGCGGGTGTTAAAAACAGAAGGCCTCAACTTCTACCCATCTGCACTCCCCCGTCACCCCTCCACTCCGCTTCTCTTCTCTCCTCCACTCCCTCCACCCCTCCCTCCGCTGCTGTGCATGGCACCTCACCTCTTGCTTGCCGCCACCAAGCCACCTCCCCTGGAAGATACCTGACCCATGTCATGCGTCAGTTGCGGTTAGTCTGGTTGCCCTGGGATCCCAGGATGATGGAGCGCAGGAGGTGGTTGGGGGTGAGCCCGGGGTGCGCGAGGGGCTGGCCCGTGGAGGGCGAGAGGTTGGACGACGCCAGCCACGCCTCCATGTGGCGCCGCTCGTACGTGAACCCGTCCGCTGCTATCACTGGGTCCTGCATCCGTTGCTGTGGGGGTTCAAGGGCGGGGAGGGAGGGGGAGGGGGGGGAAGACAGGGGAAACGAGTGAGAGAGTTGGTAAGGGAGGGGAGAGGGGTAGAGTGACGAATGCAACACTGGAGAATGAGAAGGGAACGAGCCTGTGGTACCTGAAACAGCACCAGACAGTAGCTTCACAGCACCCAACAGCACCCAGAAGTACCTTGGAGAGTGGGCACACGAGGGTGCTCTCAAGGGCATCACTGCGCCGCGTGACATCAGCCCGGCCAGCAGCAGCCGCCTCACTGAACGCCGGCACCACCTCCCCCGCCAGGTCCGCCCGCATGCGCGCATCCCGCTCCACACACCGCACCGCCACGCGCAGCACGCGCTGCGCCACGTCAGCAGGCCACGCGCCCGCCAGCTTGTCAAGATGCGGTTGCAGGATGGCGACAGACTGGGGCAGGTCGCGCGTGGGCACTGCTGCTGGCAGGGCACTCCTGGGCGTCAGAGGGGGGTCGCTGTCAGCATCGGTGCCAGCGGTGGTGTGAGGGGTGGTGGGGGAGGGGGGAGGCGGGGAGGAGATGGTAGTGGGGCAGAGGGCGAGCAGGCGATGCACGTGCTTGGGGGAATCAGCACCGGTGAGCAGCATGAGCGCCACCACCCCCAGCGCATACACATCAGAGGCGGGGGAGAGCTCGCCGCATGCAATGGCCTCCGGGTCTATGAATCCGACGGTGCCGCGCATGCGGTGTGTGGTTACCACCGTGCTGCCGTCCCGTAACAGGCATGCGAGGCCCACGTCCGCGATCTTGCTGGTGCCGTGCGCGTCGAGCAGGATGTTGTCGGGCTTTAAGTCGCGGTGCACGATGGGTGGCGAGCAGCGGTGCAGGTACAGCAGCGCCGAGGCCACTTCAGACAGAATCCGCAGCCGGTCGTGCCACGGCAGTGGGGGGGGCGACGGGGCGATGGGGGAGGCGGGGGCGGGGGAGACAGGAGACACGGGTGAAAAGGGGGACAGCTGGCCGGATGAGGACGAGGAGGAGAAGGACGGCGACTTGCCGCCGCTGCTCGCTGCCTTCTCCTGCTCCTTCGCTCCCCGCTTGTGCTGTGCTGCCAGGCGGTGCTGCAGGCTCCCCCCCGCCATGAACTCATAGACAAGCGAGAGGTCCTGAGGGCAGCACCCCATGAGCAGCACCACGTGGGGGTGGCGCACGCGGCTCAGCACCTGCACCTCGCGCTTGAACGCCTCTCGCCCCTCGCTGCGCGCTCGCCCCTCGCGCGCCCGCAGCCGCTTGACGGCCACGTCACAGCCGTGAATAGCGCCGCGGAACACGGGGCCATAGGCGCCCGACCCCACCAGGCGGGACGAGTGGAAGTTGTCGGTGGCGCGGGCGAGGTCTGCAGGGGTGAACACGCGCGATCGCTGCCCTGAAGGCAGCCGCGCTGGGCTCCTGCCGCTGCCGCTGCCGCTGCTTCTGCCGCTGCCGCCCGTGGGGGTGGTGGTGGCGGTGCTGTTGAGGGGGCTGCCAGCTGCTGATGCAATGCTGGTGGCTGTAGGGGTTGTGGGGGTGGTGGGGGTGGTGGGTGCAGTGGCGCGGGTGGGGGTGGTGGGAGTGGTGGGGGTGGCGTTGCGTGTGCTGCTTGAGGCTCTCATACCCGTGCTGCTGCTGTTGCTGCTGCTGAGCCTGTGGGATGCATTGCTGCTCTGCCTGTTTAACCCTTTGCCGCCCTGACCCATACTGCCTTGAGCCGTGCCGGCCTGTCCCGTGCCCTGCCGCATGCTACCCTGTCGTTTGAGCGCCGCACTGCCCTGCCTCCGCAGCACCACGCCGCTGCTACTGCCGCTGCTCTCCAGGCTGCGCCGCCCAATCACCACGCTGATGCTGTGACTGCCGCCAACGCTGCTACCAACCATACCACCACCACCGCTGCTAGCACTGGCGGTGCTGCCTTGCTGCGCGCGCTGGGGGAAGCGCAGGGAGGAGGAGGAGGAGGAGGAGGAGGAGGGGGGCGGCATGAGGGCGCCCGTGAGGATGGCGTCTGTGAGTGCCGCATCCTCCGCCAGCAGCCGCGCGCGCGCCACCTCCATGCTCGCACTCCTCCCGCCTATGCTGCCCCTCATGCCCGTGCTGCCCATGTTGCCTGTGCTGCCTACGCTGCCGGCTCCTGTTGCTGGTCGCCGCACTCCCCCCATGCCCGGTTGACCCTGTCTCCCCGCCCCTGCGACCACCCTCCCCCCCGCCGCCGCTGTGCCTGCGCGCATGTTTGGATTGATCCAACTGCCGCTCATGCTCCCCCCCATGTTTGACCCCATGCCCCCCATGCTCCCGCCTGTGCTCCCGCCTGCGTTTCCGCCTGTGCTCCCGCCTGTATTTCCGCCTGCGTTTCCGCCTGCGCTCCCGCCCACGCTCCCCCCAGGTCGTCCCCCCGGGGCGGCAGCGCAGGGCGGGCGCGCAGCAGAGGAGATGGAGCTGCTGGTGCGCCCGAGGCGCGCGGACGATTGGCCGGGGCGAGGGACCTGGCGGGGGCAGCGGGGGGAGAAGAATGGGGAGGGGAGGGTGAGACGCAGAGGAAAAGGTAATTCCGAGGGGATTGCAGAACGCATGGTGTGGCGTGCGGGATGGCATGGCGTGCGGGGCAGTCACAGCGGGCGCGCATGGGCAGTCACAGTGGGCGCGCAGGGACGAAACATACCCAGGGAGCGGGGGAGGGCGGGCGCTCAAGCAACGTGGTGGACGCACTCCCGCCACCATCCCCACTGGCACCAATAACGCCACCACTGCCGCCAGCATGCGCGTTCACCTGCTGCTCTCGAATCCCCCTTCCCTCCCCGCTCTCCTCGCCCGCCCCCCCTGCTGCCCCCTCCCACGCTCGCTGCCTCTCACTCCCTTCCCTTCCCGCTCCCCCTTCGCTCTGCCGCTCCCCTGCGCCCGCCGCCCGTCTGCCTGCGCTGGCCGCGGTGGCGGCGGCGCCCATGCGAAGCGGACCCGAGAAGGAGCCGGCGGCGGGCGCGGGTGGTGCGGGGCTCGCTTGGGCGGGCGGCGGCACGGAGTGGCGCGGCAGGGAGAGCGAGGAGCGCGATAGACGGCTGGGATTGCGCTGTAACGGCAGGGACGGGGGGGAGGAGGGACATGGGGAAAGCGAGCGGAGAGGGAAGCGGGGGGGAAACCAAGGAGGGGGAGAGGGGAAGGAGAGGAATGTGAGATGTGGGGGCGGGAGAAGGGGTTGGAGGTACAGACATGGCTGAGGAGCGAGGACGCGCGCGTGGGGGCGAGACTGCGGCGCACGGAGTGGAGAAACCAGCACAATGGGGGAGGGGGTGGGTGGGCGGGAGGGAGGGGAGGTGCAGATGCACAGATGGAGGAAGGGGATGCGCAGCAGCAGCAGCAGGAGGGAGGGGCTCACCTCGTCCGCCCACTGCTCTCTCGTTGGCGACCGCCGGCTCACCACGCGCCTCTCCAGCCCGCTCACTCGCGCGCCCCGCTCCCGCGCGCCCTTATCCCTTGCGCCCTTCCTTTCCCCCTCTCCCTCCCCTTCCCCATCCCCCTCCCCCGCGCCGCTCTCCTCCCCGCTGTCCACGCCCAGCGCCGCCAGCTCGTCCATCAGCCACCGCCGCGCCGCCGCCGCCGCCACCACCTCTCGTGCCCTCTCGCCCTCCCCCTCGCTCGGGCAAGGCGCCTCTTTCCTCCCCTTGCCCTCCTCCCCGACCTCTCCCTTCCCGCCCCCCGCTGGCCCCTTGCGCGCGCCCTCCCCCTTTTCCACCTCCCGCACCTGCACCACCAGCTGCCGCCCCGCCATCTCCCGCTCCCCCTTCTCGCGCTCCTCGCTCACCCCTTCCTCAGACACTCCTGCCGCGCCCCCTCCGCTCCGCGCCCCATGCGGAAACACTTCCCCGCCCCATATGAGCGCGCCAGGTGCCGCGACCGCGGCGGCGGAGGGATCCGGGGAGAGCGACGCGCGGATGGGGGAGACGGCGGCGGAGAGTGAAGCGGAGAAGGTGTGAGGCGAAATGGGGGAGATGGGGAGCACGGCGGAGGAATGCGCGGAAGGGGGGACGGCGGGGGAGCGGGCGGAGGAGGCTACAGCGACGGCGTCGAGAACGCTGCGGCAGCCCTCGCTGCCGCCGCGCTTGAGCTGGCGGCGCTGGAACAGGCCCCCCTTGGGGCGCTCCTCCACCACCGGCGGAGGCGCGGCGGGGAGCGGCGTGGCGGCGGGGAGGCGGGGAGCGCGCGGGAGGGACCAGGGGGACTGGGGGGGCGTGATGGTCGACGGGGAAGGGGAAAGAGAGGGGGGGGTGGTGGCGGGGGAGTGGTATGTTGTCACGCCAGCACTAGCACCTGCTGCGGCTGCTGCTGCGGGATCGACAGGCATATACTCTTCACCATACCTACCGCTGATACTGCCACTGCCTGACCCTGTTACGCGCTGTGCGGCGTGCGGAGGGGTGACGGGCGCGGTGGCGGCACATGGAACAGGCATGGGGGAACCCGGGGGAGCGGAGACGGAGGGGGGGATGGCATGGCCTGGGGGCGACGGCCCTATCGGCATGGTGTGGCTGGCGGGGACGAAGGCGGGGTAGGCGGGGGGCGGAGAGGAGAGGGGCGACGGCCCTGCGCTGACGGAGTGAGACGGGCGCGGGGGAACGGACGGGGACGGGGACAGGGGCGCGGGCGCCGCCTTTCCAAGCAACCACTGCGCCAGCTGCGAATCCACCTCCGCCGCCTCCACCCATGCCTCTCCGCCGCCCGCCCCCGCTAACACACCCTGCCACCGCTCACGTTCCCCGTTGCCCTGCCGCTGCTGCCCCACTTGCTGCGACTGCAGCTGCTGCTTCCCTCCAGGATGCGACCACCCTTGCGTGACGGCACCCAACAACTGCATTGGCCCCGACCGCGCGCCCCTTGACGAATGTCCAGCGCCGCGTGCCTGTCTCACTACTCCGCCCTCTCTATCCTGCTCCGCACCCATGCCCCCGCGAATACATCCCGCGCCCTCCCCTCCTCTCCGCGCCTGCCCCGCACCGCCACCGTCACCGCGCTCTGTTGTCGGCACAGCCGGTAGCGGCCCACTCCTCGAGTTCCCCGAGCCTGACAGCCTATCCGCTAACGCGCGACCTTGCACAGGCTGTTCCCGCCCGGCACTACGAGCCGCCGCGCCGCCGCCGTCGTGCGCCCCTCCCCCTCCACCGCGCTGCAGCGGCATGGCGGAGTTCTGTAAGCGCCACTGCGCACTTCCGCCTTCCGCTCCCCCAAGCACCCCGCCATCACCTTCCCCCGGCCCCGCCCTGTCACCGCCCTCGCCTCTCCTCACCGCACCGCGCTCCTCCTGAGCCCTCCGCATCCGCTCCGCGGAAACCATCTCCCCCGCTGACCCTGCGCAACTTCCGCCTGCTTCTCTCCCCAACCCTAGCGCCTGCCCCTGGCCTTGCCGCATCGTCGGCCCCTGTGCGATCGGCTGCTGCGGGCGCGGCCGTGCGATGGCGGCAGGCGGAACACTACCACCGCGAGCCCATCCCCGCCGTCCTACCTCCTCGCCCAACGCGGCACGTGCAGAGCCAGAAGCAGCAGCGCCACCACCACCACTACTACCGTCACTACTAGCAACACCACCAAAACTAACACCAACGACACTACCAGCAGCACAGCCGTCACCATCTGGCGTGGTGTGAGAGGGCGGCGGGAACAGGTCGCCGTGGAAGTCACTGGCGCCTGCCACCGCCGTTAACGCTTCGCGCCCGCCGCTGCCGTCGCGGAGGCCTGCTCCCCCCCGCCCCACCTCACCGACCGCCCCCCCGCCTATTCTCGCCCCGTCGGGCTGATGGCGCGCGGAAGCGGTCATGATGAGCGCGCACTGGGGGGGCAGCAGCGAGCGGATCAGCGCAGGCGACGGGGGAGGCGCGAGGGCTGCGCGGGGCGATTCTGCTGCCTGTGAAGCCTGGCAAGCGGCGGATTCGGCGGAAGATTCAGCGGCGGAGTCCACGGCGATGGATGCGGTGAAGAGGTTGGATGGCAGATACACGCGCGCGGCGTCGAAGTGGCGCGCAGCGGCACACACGCCGTGCACACGCTGTTGCTGATGTGGCAAACGCGAACTGCCAGCTCCACCCTGCGACGCTGCCCTTTCCACGTGGAAGGCGGCCAGCACCTGCGAGATAACGAGGGTGGCGGGGCAGAGGGGCCGGAAGAGGGAGGGCGGAAGGGGGAGGGGGAGAGGGGGGGTGGGGAGAAAGGAAGGAGAGTATCAGAATGTGACGCCGGATGGCGCGGGGAAGCGAAGACACGAACGTGACAGAAATGCGAGCAGGGGGTAGGTTTTCCTGGAAGAATTAATTCTGACCCGCGTGACGCACCCTGACCCGCGTGACGCACCTTGGATCGCGTCGCTCGCTGCACCAGCGGTCGGAGCACGCGCTGCACCACCCACGCCTCAAAGCCTTCCTCCCCCTCGCGCTCGCCGCCTTGCTTCCCCTCCTCCCCTCTATCCCCCTCGTCGGAGATTCCCGCGGCCGACGATGGCACCACCGCCACCAGCACCAGCACCACCTGTGACGTGGCTTGCTGCCGAGCCACGTCAGCAACGGCGCGCTGCACCACAGTCCACGCGTCCTCCACGCATCGACCCAGTGCCGGCGTCGAGTCGCGGTCGGTGTCGTTGAGAGCAGTGGACAGAGGCACTTCCACCACCCAGCGACGCCTGGGCGAGTCGCCGGGCGGCATGGTGCGCTTAGCAGAAGCGCGGAGCGGCAAGGCGAGGCTTAGCAGACGGCGGGTCAAGTGGCCTCCGCGCGATTCCGCGACTGCACCCTGCTGCTGTGGGGAATGGTGCTGCGAGAGCTGCGCGTGCTGGTGCACATGCGCGTGGTCTATCGGCGGAGCTGCACACATGGCGACGTCCGCCATTGCAAACGAACCATGCGCGGAGGTGAGAGATGCTGAGTTGAGAGATGCTGAGTTGAGCGACGGTTAGTGAAGTGAAGCCACGAAACCTAGGGTTTGGAATGGAGGCAGAAGAGCTGGAACTGGGGAGAGATGAAGTGCGAACACCCATATCCCTCGGAATCATGCTGGCGAGCTCAGGACGCGTCACAAGTAAAATATCGAGGAAGGATCAGGGTTGTTCACCGAACCTGTCAAACCGATCGCCATATCGGTGTGTCACGACTGCTTTGAAGTTTCAAGTGACACGGTCGTAAAAACACGGGGCAAAATTGCCCGATGTGGACGAAATTGCACGATCGTGTGTGACAGGGGCACATCGATCGCCTGACTTAGAAGGGAAAACTGTACGTTAGCGAAAATAAACGAAAATGTGTAACCACCTAAACACCGATTCTAGGCAGGATCGATGTTCTACTTGTGACGCGTCCTCACTGTGCCTGGTGATCTCGAGAGAGGGATTTCCCGAATTTCCCTATGCCATGGTTGACAGGACAAGGATTCCGCAGAGCCCACCTCAGCAGGCTAGCAACAGGCAAACCCAAACTCGAGGCAAGTGTGAGGTGGAGGGTAGCCATCCAGGCCCTGAAGAAGAAAACAGGACCATCAGAAAATTCCAAGGCTGCTGCAATACGCGTGTGCACTGTGCATGGGAAGGTTAGGAGGCATCATGCTGGTGCCTCGCATCGGTTTCGAAATTCCCTCACCGTGCTGTTTCCATGGTTTGGCGTTCATATTTGTGCACAGTTCAGTGCTGACCCAGGGATCATCGCATTCGCAACGCAATCAACACGGAATTTGCGGAGCGAGGTGAGGAATTCAAATTCAATTCAGTGCATACCTGTCGAAGAAATTCGAAGTGCCAATGCCACCCGTCCGTGCTGCATGTCCACGATTACGAGTGGAGGAGAGATGTTGTTCCATGCCACCCTGGCACGCCAAGGTGTCGTTGCTTTGGTTTTCCCTCTCAATCGCAAGCTCTGTCAACACGTGCCAATGATCACGATCGCGGCTAAAAGCTGCCGGAACAGTAGCGAATCCTACCCACGCAAGCGAATTTCCCTTCCAATGCAAGTGGTTAGATTGGATGGGACCGAAACCGCAAAAGCAGACACCAACCCCACACCAGTCTCCTCTCTCATTGTACACCATGATTACTAAATATATGTACACTTGTGACTCTATCTAATCTACCAATTCAATACCAATGCTGACACCGTTATATGTTTCCGTTTGTTTCTCACCGGAGTGTGACGGGCCCCAACGGGGCATGACGGGCGGTGCTGTCAAACTATATTTGACATACCGTATAACCCCGGATATAGGCGCATGTGCGCTTATAATAAAACCGGTTTTTTTAGGGGGGGGCGCTTGTAATTGAGTCACGGCCATAAGCGCCGGCGCTTATATAATGACAAGTACAGATATACAACTTAAACGCATCAAAATGTACACATTTCAGTCTCGGTAGTTCAATCGAGTCGATATTTTAAAGCGTCCAGAATCTGAATCGCGTGAGGGCGATTCTCTGACGCTGCACAGTGCACAGAGATTTTGACACGTCAATTTGCCAGCTTGCCACCTCATCCTGACTGGACGCGAAAGCAGTCAGGACCGCGAAAGTCAAACAAACTGAAAATGGGTGCTGACTCGCTTGAAATTCAAAACTCGTTACCGCTTTAATCAGGATTGAAACATAATATTATGGATGCGCTTATAATAAATCAGGGTTTCACAGGGGGGGCGCTTATAATCGAGTTCCGGCCATAAGCGCCATGCTCCAGATAGAAGCGCCGGCGCCTTTAATTGGACGGCGCTTATATCCGGGGCGATACGGTATTTGTTATTATAATATGTTGCATATGTTGGAATTCTTTGAAATAAGTATAATATTGTTGATATGATTAGTAGATACCTTTGTGTTAGTCATTCTGTTGTTTTACACTTGAGTCAGAGAGGGGATAAACTTCTTTCGGACCTTCTCTCACATCCAAAGATGGCCACTCTTTGGGTGTTGCTGCACATTGCAGCATAGTGCAACTACGAGTTCCGGTCGTGCCCCGTTGTGGGCTGTCATGCTCCGGTGAGAAACAAATGAGAACATATAACGTTGTGAGCATTGGTATTGAATTCAAAATAATATACCGTCATACCCCGGATATAAGCGCCACCCGCGGATAAGCGCCTTGTCAAACATTGCATGTTTATATTGTCTAGGCTGTAGTGGGTTACACCTTAGGGGGTACACAAAGTTAGGGTTTCCTACTTGTACCAAACTCTGTTCTAGTTCATTCATTCCTGCTCAGTTATTTCTGACATGGTTTCAGAGCAGGTCCTTCGCTAGGACTGTTCTTAGGGCCCACCGACTTACCTACCTGCTTACCTTCGCTTCTTTTCGGCCCCGATGGCCCCGTCGATCTAGCACGATCTAGCGGCCCTGCGGCCCCTTCGAATTTTTTTTTTTTTAGCGGCCTCTCACGGCCCCCGTCGCGTCGCCCCTTAGCGCCCCGATCGGCCCCGTCACGCCGCCCGCGAACCGCACAGCGCGCCGCGCTCACAGCCCGCGAACCGCCCACGCACAGCCCGCGAACCGCCTGCGCAGCCCGCGACCAGCCCGCGCAGCCCGCGCACAGCCCGCGAACTGCCCGCGAGCAGCCCGCGACCTGCCCGCGAACCCCCGCGAGCCGCCCGCGACCCGCTTACGCAGCCCGCGAGCAGCCCGCGCAGCCCGCGCTGAGCCTGCGCGGCTCGTGCGCTGACCGCCGCCGGCCCGCACGCTGCCCGCACTGCTCCCGGCCCGCCGCTGCCGAGCCCGCAGCCGCCCGCGCACCGCCTCTGCTGAGCCCGCAGCCGCCCGCGCACCGCCGCTGCTGCGCCCGCTGCCGCCCGCGCACCACCGCTGCTGAGCCCGCAGCCGCCCGCGCACCGCCTCTGCTGAGCCCGCCGCCGCCCGCGCACCGCCGCTGCTGCGCCCGCCGTCGCCCGCGAATCACCGCTGCTGAGCCCGCCCCTACTACGCCGGCTCTCGCTGCCGCCTGCTGCGCCTGTGCACCACTGCATTCCTACTACTACACTTTCTGCTACTACTGCTTGTGCGCCACTACAGTCCGTAGGCCCCACCGGCCCCGCTGACCCTGCGCACGCCTTTTCAGTGACTTTACTGCTTCTACTACTGCCGCTGTCGCTATGGCTAGTCCTCCTGTTCTAGCTTTCGACGCCGAGGGCCGTCCGGTCAAATTCGAAACCTGGCTAGATGACCTGCACCTTTTCCTACAGCTCACTGCCAAGGAAGATATTACACTGTACGACCACGCTCTCGGCCATGCGACCGCCCCACTCGCTACTGCCCCCCCAGCTGAGCGCTCACAGTGGCAGACCCGTGACGCGCACGCTCGCTTTGCTATTCGCAACTCCCTGCCGCTAGATGAGCGCGAGCACTTCGGCCAGTGCAAGACTGCTAAGGACCTCTACACAGCTGTAGTGGCCCGCTACTCCTCACCCGCTTCTGCCACACTAGGCCGCCTCACTCTCCCCTACCTGTTCCCCGACCTAGCCTCCTTTCACACTGTCGCAGACCTCATCACCCACCTTAAGACTAGTGAGGCTCGCTTTCGCGCTGCCATGCCTGATGAGTTCCTCGCTAGCAACCCCCCCCCGCTCTGGATCACTCTCTACCACGTTGTCACCCGCCTCCCTGACTCTCTGCGCCCTGTCAGGGACCAGTTCCTCTCTCGCTCCCCCACTGAGCTCACCATAGCCCTCCTCGAGAAGGAACTGCTTGCAGCCGAGGCTAGTATCGTCGCTGTAGGCACCTCTCGTGGCGACCCCCGCGGCCCCTTCTTCGAGGGGTGCTCCCCTTCCCCCCTCCTCCCCTCTGTCGCCTCTGCTGCTGCTGTCGACCTCCTTGGTGCTGAGAAGGTCGGGGCTGCGTCTGCTTCAGGCGGACGACGCAGGGGCAGGAGTGGCAGGAGTGGGGGTGGTGGCGGAGGAGGCGGGGGTGGAGGTGGTGGCGGTGGAGGTGCGACTGGAGAGACTAGTGGCGGCAGTGGTGGAGGTGACAGCGGTGTTGGGAGTGGTGACAGGGGCGGAGGTGGCAGCGGAGGCGGAGGTGGTCGTGGCAGCGGCAGGGGTGGAGGTGGCCGGGGCGGAGGCGGAGGGGGTGGTGGTCGTGGAGGCCCGGGGGGCGGTCAGAGTCAGCAGCCTTCCCCGACCCTTCAGGCCGCCCGTGAGTGGTATGCGCGGCGCAGCGTCACCTGCCAGTACGTTATTCGTACAGGTGACCGCACTGGCCAGATGTGTGGGGGGCCGCACCAGACGGAGCGCTGCTTCGCCCGCCTCAACGATGCGTGGCGCACCCAGTTTCCTGGTGGGGGTGAGCTGCCGCGCTGGGCTGATCTGCTCAGGAAGGGTGTTGATATTTGGGCACTTGACTTTGATGCTATTCTCACTGCCATGTATGCGATGTCTATTAGTGGAGAGGGTGCTCAGTACTTGCGTGTTCCGCCCGACCCGGGCATTCAGGCCAGCCCCGCTGCTGCTCTAGGTGCTAGTGTGTCTGCTTCCACAGGTACTACTGCAGCTGCTGCTCTAGGTGCTTGTGCGTCTGTGCCCCCTGGTACTGAGTCGACTGCAGCACTGCACACCTTCACACTGGACTCAGGTGCTTCTCGCTCTTTCTTTCGTGACCGCACTGTCCTTGAGCCTCTAGCTCGGCCGGTTGCTGTCTCTCTTGCTGACCCCTCTGGGGGTCCGGTCCTTGCGACCTCCTCCACCACCCTTCCGTGTCCAGCGGTTCCGTCCGGCACACTCTCAGGTCTCTACCTCCCCTCGTTCTCCACGAACTTGGTGGCAGGTAGTGCGCTCCAGGACTCGGGTGTTCACCAGTTCACCCCTGCCTACGAGCGTGTGACTCACTGCACGTGTGCTCGGACGGGCCGCCACCTGGCTAC